TCCGACCGTAGAAAATGTATATAAATCTCCTTATCCTGTTGAGAGTTGGGATTTGCTTTCGGATTTGGTGGTTTGGTGTAATCGTTTCCTTTCATTGTATCGCGATGATTCATGTAGGAGTATCCTTGGTTTACGACCTTTGGCCTTGATCTTATACGGTCCTACAAGGACCGGTAAGACCGAATGGGCGCAGAGTTTAGGGTCTCATATTTTCTTTTCGGGTTTCTTTAATCTTTCCTTATATCGCGAGACTTACAACTATGTGGTTTTCAACGATGTGGAATTTACGCGTATGGATGTATTTAAATGTTGGTTTGGTTCACAGGCTGAGTTTACCAGTACGGACAAGTACTGTTGGAAAACTCAGATAGTTCACGGTCGCCCGGTTATAGGTTGCTTTAACCATGACCCTCGCTTAGCGAACTGGGCCGATGTGGAATGGATAGATGGGAATTGCGTTTTCCTTAATGTAATCGATAAATTGTATCGTAGTTAAACGATACTGTCTAGGGGAATGTGACGGAGGAGGGGGCTTCACCCCCTATCCCATCCATAGTACTTCCTCCAGACGGTATTTACCACCATTGGACCCCACCACCAACCTAAAGAGAAGAAAATGGGTATTTAGATAGCCAAAAGAAAAGTGGAATAAGGATTGTGTTGAACCTACTGCTAGGAAAGGAGAGAGAAAGATTAGTCAGATGATGACTGGTTGTTTCTATGGTCAAACTCATGGTCTTTTTTTTACCTGTTTTTCCTGATCCTACTTCTGCTGGAGGTAGAGTGACTGGAAAGTCAATTATTGATATTTATGATCAATATTACTTTCCAGGAATATGGGAGGATATCAAGAAGCATGTTGGGGAGGAAGAGGTATTTTTGATCATTGACAATGCTAAGACTCACCTGCCTTTCAGGAGATGGCTTAGGAGAAATGGAATTTCTCTGATGAAAATTCCTCCCTATTCACCAGACCTCAATCCAATTGAAAATGTTTGATCTCTGGTGAAAGACAAGCTTCATAAGCACTATCCTGAGCTATTTCTCCTGAAGGGCCCTGTCAATGAGATCAAAAAAATTATAGAGAAGGCTATCACTCATTGTTGGGAACTTCTGGACCCAAAGGTTTTTGATACTTTGGCAAGATCAATGGTGGATAGGGTGGAGGCAATTATTAAGGCTGATGGATGGTATACTAAATATTAATTTCTACTATGTATTTATATTTTTTAATTTTCTTTTGGGTTTTCATGATAGTGGGTTGGTGGAGGAGTGTGGTTGTCATCACCGAAGATTTTCCGGCCGTTGACAGCTAGTTAATTTTGTCCCCGGACAATACCAATGGAATTGAACGACGTTTACGGAGACGCCCACCACTGCATGACCCCGAGACCCAAGCAAGAAGGCTTCAATGTGAGCTGGATTTTGGCCGTACAGAATACCGCAGTAGTTGTGTTCACAAGTGTCATTCAGTTACGACTATCGTAGGATCGTGCAGGTACTATATTCTACTAGTGGTACGTACAGTACTTGTCATGGTTGATATTTTCGATGGCGTGACTAATAGTCGTCTGGTACAAGTGTCAGTTCCATTACCGGTAGTCTAAGTTACTGGGGAGCATCCACCACACACACACAAGTCCACAGTCTGAAGGAAGGGATGTAATGGGAGGGAGAGAAGCTTGAGCTTAACATAACGTTAAATTTACATATAATATCCTTACGATGTAGGAGTCGCCTCTTTTCTTTTCTTTTCTTTTCTTTTCTTTTCTTTTTTTTTTTCTTTCTCATTTCAAAATAATGCACTCCTCTTCTTACCGCCATGTACAGTACGAGTATTGTACTCGTACATACATTGTTCGCTTGAGGAGCCGCCACGTCAAATACGATACTGTAAGTACCGCCATACTCGAGCAGTTAGTGCCGTATTTTATTTTATTTTCATTTTATTTTCTCCCGCTTGCTGCGGTACGTTACTATGGCTGCGTGCGCTGCGGTGATTCATGGATGGGTATACGACGATGATGATGAGGATGGAGGTAAAGTGGGCTGTGGAAGGTATTCCATGGTGGTGGCGGTGAAGAAGGTGTCGGAGCCTTCTCGATGCCCCGAGTCATTTCCTCGTAGTCTACTCGAGTAAGACACTCTTCGTCTTTTTTTTTTTCCGGGCCCGCATGGCCGGACCCGAATCTGTGCGATTTGTAATATCATAATAATTATTATTATATTCTACTCTTACATTTTTTGTGAGGGAATCACCACGGATGAATGGTGATGGCAAAAAAAGGCTTTTCCCCTCGGTATCATACAAGTAATGAGAAGCGAAAGAGAGAAAGCCCAGCCTCCACACAAAATCTCTGAAGGACAGAGGCGGCGGACGGTTCCCCATAGAAACGACTGGAGCATGCTGCAGGTGGCGTCACCAAATACGCTTTTGGTAAGCCCTAGAGCCTAAAATGGTTGGTGCCTAGAGCGGCAAGTAGCGCCGCGTGAGAGATAAGTTTGCGTGCCACGGTATTTAAACTGCCTGCCCCCTCTCCCTCTTTGACTTCTTCTCTCCTCCCTCTCAACCACACCACTAAAAACACCTTTCTCCCCCATCTACTACGAAACTCTTCTACTCAAAACTTCCATTTAGCAAAAACATCTTCCATAAAAACAATCAGCCATGCAGATCTTCGTCAAAACTCGTGAGTTTATTTAAATAAACCCTTTCATTTCAGCCTTGTTTTTTTTTTTTCCTATTGGGAGGCGGGCGAGTTGGAGAAAAAATTCTAATCATCCTTTTATAGTCACTGGAAAAACCATTACCCTTGAGGTGGAATCGTCGGACACTATCGACAACGTCAAGTCTAAGATTCAGGACAAGGAGGGAATTCCTCCAGATCAGCAACGTTTGATCTTTGCTGGAAAGCAGCTTGAGGACGGACGCACCCTCTCAGATTACAACATCCAAAAGGAGTCTACCCTTCATCTTGTTCTCCGTCTTCGTGGCGGTATGCAAATCTTTGTAAAGACTCGTAGGTTTCACACATTCCACACCTACGGTGGCAAAATACTAACCCTATGCTGCAGTAACTGGCAAGACAATCACCCTCGAGGTGGAGTCTTCTGATACTATTGACAATGTCAAGTCAAAGATCCAGGATAAGGAGGGCATCCCCCCAGACCAGCAGCGCTTGATTTTCGCCGGCAAGCAACTTGAGGATGGTCGTACCCTTTCCGATTATAACATTCAGAAAGAGTCCACCCTTCACTTGGTTCTTCGTCTTCGTGGCGGAATGCAAATCTTTGTCAAGACCTTAACCGGCAAGACAATCACCCTCGAGGTCGAGTCCTCGGACACCATTGACAACGTCAAGTCGAAAATCCAAGATAAGGAGGGTATTCCTCCAGACCAGCAACGATTGATCTTCGCTGGAAAGCAGCTTGAGGATGGCCGTACCCTCTCTGATTACAACATTCAGAAGGAGTCTACCCTTCATCTCGTCCTTCGACTTCGTGGTGGAATGCAAATTTTCGTTAAAACTTTGACCGGAAAGACTATCACCCTCGAGGTGGAGTCTTCTGACACAATCGACAATGTCAAGTCGAAGATTCAGGATAAGGAGGGTATTCCTCCAGACCAGCAGCGCTTGATCTTTGCTGGTAAGCAGTTGGAGGATGGTCGTACTCTTTCCGATTATAACATTCAGAAAGAGTCCACCCTTCACTTGGTTCTTCGTCTTCGTGGCGGGTCTTTGTAAGGTTTAGAAATGTGTTACGACTGAACGGATCATGTGATTGTTGTGGCTTGTAAAATGATTGGATGGTTTCCTATTTTGATTTTTGTTTCTTCTACTGGGTTCTGGGTGTTTGGGTCGAGTACCCTGGCTTGTATCAGATTGGTGTTTACCAAATGATATTCTCTTCTGACGCAACAAACGTTTTTTCCTGTTAGGGCGAGTGATTTGCACGGTAGCTATCCTGGTACACCCAAGGTACTAATAAGCTGGGCCAATAATATTATCCATGTGCGCCCGCTTCTTACTTTGGGGAAGGTGAACTTTTTTCACTGGTGATTGCGTAATGTTATTCCAGTATGATTCGAGTGTTAAATGCTAAAGCCGAGTCGATCTTTCAGCCATGCAGAGTAACTCCCTAAGTGTCCGAATACAAGAGAAACGGTTTAAGACTTTGTAATTACCTCTCGCGGTACCGATACGAGTAAGGCGCTGTGTATCTTTCTTTTCCCCCGCTCTAGCTGGGGGCTGAGTTTGTGGTGATTTGCCTACCTCTCCTCCCAGAGGGGGGATATCAACAAAATAAACATGTTTCTCTTGTATTTGAGTATTCGAGTACTTATATAGTATTTGAAATTTCCCGACTCGAGCGCTGTGCGTCCCCTACCTGCGACGTACCATTCGACCTCCGACCTGTGGGTTCTCATAAAATCTCACTCGGCAACTCTTAACCTCTAGTACTGTTGAAAACGGGAGATGATCAGATCAGGGATTGCATGGAGTTAAGAGAAATAGGGGTTAAAGGACAAGGGATTATGATATGAGGAGAGGAGAAGTTTGTCAGCTGTCTGGTAAAGTGAGAGGACATCAGAGGTAAAGTGGGGGAAGGAGGAAAACATATACAAGTATAAAGAAAAATTTTACTACTAGTGCGGATACCTCCAAGAAGTACCGAGGTTAAAAGTGTTGAGAAATTGCAGCCAAAAGGAGTGCTCCTGGATCACTACACTCTATCAAAACCGAATTTGTATCCACCCTACACAATCACTCAAGCAGCCCCTCTCCACCACTCAGACTCCCAGCCAAAAATCGGTAACCTGCATCCTCCACGCGGTGAGATCCGGGAAAACACTCGGCGCATTATGGTCCCTCGGTCTCTCCTTATCGTACAACGTTTCCAATCTTTGGATGCGTCTTCGGGGTGGAACAGACTATATTAAGGGCTATGCTCGGATTTGAGGACGAGGCCGGCAGGGGCCGCTGCTAGTTTTTCGTCGAGGCTGGTGGCTGCGGGGACTGAGAGGCTGGAGGCAGGGCTGGTGTTGCGGGCTTGTGATAGGTTCCTTTGAACAAACAGATTGCGGTAAGGAGGGGCGGAGGAACCCTGTAGTGGTACCATCTGCACGTCCTGTGATACCCGCAGTTTCTCCGTTGTGGACAGGAATCTTCCGCTCATGTGTGTCAGAGACTTGTCTGTCCCTCCTGGTCCAAAATCCCCTTATTCCGGCCGGCGCTGCTATTCCATGTCTTGCCCTTGTTAGTGCTATATGCTTAATCTGGGGTCGTGGCGAGGAGTGCAAACACACGTTCCGATACGGAATTCGGGGAGCAAGTCGTTGGCTGTGGTTTTGAGTCGGGGGTAAGCTATTCAACGTACCGCCGAATAGTGAAGTCGGCGATGTGAAGGGGGGTGGGCTTTGATCGCGAGACGCTGCACAGAATCCCAGTCATGAAGTGGGACGTCCTAATGATCTGCAGCTCCAGGCAGGTTACAGGAAGGATTCGCAATTGCCGACAGGCTATGTGGGATTGTGCTGTTCCCGTCGATTGTGCTCTACACGCAGGTTGCGAAGGTCATCAAGGGTCAGGTTTATAAACTGGCTAAATTCCTATTTGCCCAAGTGAGACGTAATTCCTCGCATGTGTCCTCGAGGTGCTGTTCAATGGCCTGTAAGCCCTCGTCAGGTTACGCTTGGAAATTGTTTCAAAGAACCCAGTTGATGTGCTGCATTTTACATCGTTACAACGCTCTGCTAGAAGATTCCCCATTCGACCTAGAACTACTCCCCGGCCCTGTTCGAAGATTGGCAGTTGTAGGAGTGGCGGCAGTAGCGGAATGTCCAAAAACAGAGAAAACCGTGAGAAGCAGGAATACAAGAATCGGCTGAAGCGTTGCTATGTTCGATAGATATCAACTTGGCGGACACCACGTTGGAACCCCCAGCAATATTTATACACCACCCGCTTCCCCCCTCTACCAAACGTTCCCCCAGGTACCTTCATAAGGTGGAATCCCAAGTTAACTTGATATTATGACGTTACTATAGCGGAGGGGTCGAGCGCCCGGGAACATGCTCGTTCGGATCACCGCTTAATGATAACCGTCGCGGCTATTTGCTCCCCGGAACCCTAACTTATCTCTTGAACTGTGGTTCCCGGGGAAGAACCGTTTGTTTGTAAACTCGATATTTGGAGAATTAGATCTACCCACTTGTCTAGTACTTATGAACTTGTATACCGTGACTCCCTCCAATGCAATGGGAGTGCTAGTCTCGTGTTGCCGGCTGGGGAGGTGTCATCATTTCTGGTTTTCTTGTGGTGATTGCAGTAATTGGTTTCGTTCAGCCGGGAGGTTTGAGAATGTATACCGAGGTGGTGATTTCTTATCAATTGCCGTGTCTCTTCTACATTGATATGAGAAATCGAATGGACGTCGTTAAGTGCACAATCACTAAGTATCACTCGCTCCACGTGTCACCGGGGAGCGAGTATGGAAAAAAACATCTACCGTGGAGATAAGATTTCTCAGGCCCCCGAAAATCTCAAACCCAGTATGGTATGACAGACTAGGTATAGGTGAATAGTTGTTTGCTAATAGTATCACTCGAATCTGTCACTGGCTCCATCTGACCAACTATGGATCAAGTCTTCCTTCCGTAGAATCATGGGCGAACAATTTTGTGCTCAGAAATGGGAAAACTATGAATTCATCAGTTTGATTGTCTCTTGATGTCTGATGTATGGATATTCCTCTTCACTTTGATTTCTGTTGTCTAAAGCGCGAGTTAATTGGCCACGCCGCATCCCCGAAAATGCCAAGCTCTTTCTTTTTCACGTTCGCGGAGTTGAGCCTCACAGCGACAGCAATCTCCCGGAGAAGTTCAACCACCAATGTCACGATGGACGAAGCCGACAGCATATCTGTTAAGCTCACCGAGCTCCTACGACACCCGGAAGTAACTTCCCCTCCATATATATGCTATAGAAGTGCTTAATTTAACCATTGTTTTCGCTTAGGACCTTGACAAGATATCTTCGCTCAAGTCTGAATTCTCGCGAAAGAAAGGCCATGTTGATACACAGCTCAAAGCTGCGCTCGCGACACAGCTCAAGGTCACGCAGGTATAACCCCCACGGTGGGCAAAACGACTACCGGGAGCTTTGGTTACTAATTGTCTGTTAGTCCGGAATTAATGCAATCAATGATGGGCAAAAAATCTTGAATGCGATCAAGGAGGAGATGATTAAAGTATCACCTCCTTCCTCACCCCCCCTCACCCCCCTCACCCCCGATCGTCAAGAAATGCCGGCCGAACTGATACGAACGCCTAGATTGATAAATTGTGCAGTGAAGCGGAGGATATGATCGACGAATTCCCATTGATAAACAAGATTTCGAAGATTAACCGGAATTTCGTCGCTGTGGAAGAGATCAAGTCTAAGCTCAAGGGCCTGGATTCTCGGTTGGCGGAGGTGGACCGCATGCTCGCGGATGACTCTGGTGACTGTGGGTTTGGGAATTTGTCCAGCAGGCGCAACACAGAACTGACAGTGTGGTTCCAGCGTTGGCAAATGAGATGCCGAACCTTCTACCTATCCACTTCGCGATTATGCAGTTACAGGATTTCAGAGAGGATGTTATGCACCAGAGTGAGCGAGCGGATAACGATGTTAAGGAGACACTCGAGAGCTATTTTTCACCGCTGGAGAATACTGTAGGAATGTTTGATGAGAGGGTCGGGATCATTTCTATGAGCTTGATTGAGCTGGTTCGAGCTGGGAATAGAAGTCTTGTTGTTCGTCTTGCAAAAATCATCGACTCTGAAGAGCGGTCCGACGAGAAGGTCCTAGCTCTTCAGGAAGCCCAAAATAATCATCAGGATCTAGCTACAAGGTATAAACGGCTGAAACCATTTCTGTCATGATATCACTGACAGGCAGATCCGAGGTTCAAATCGATACAAAAAGGGCCAAAAGTAGCCCGAGGATATAAGGGAAAGTTCCTCGCCTGCGTAAAAGCCGCCGCTCAGGCTAAATTTGACGCTGCGAAGGAGCGATTCGAAGACAATCCAGAAGGCCTAGAAGAGTGTCTGGGCTGGTACTTTGGCGATCTGCAAACCGTCAAAACAGAGTTCGTCCAGTTGATGCCCCGGCGCTGGAAAATCTTCGACACATACCTTGAAATCTACCACAGCTTGATGCACGACTTTCTCAAAGTCCAAATCGAAAAGCCCGACCTCGACGGCCAAAGTTTACTAAACATCATCCTGTGGAACGGGGAATATAATAAGGGCATGAAGGCACTCGGCATCAAAGCAGCTGAACTGAAGCCTCAACTCATTGACGGTCGAGAGGCGGAGCTACTGAAGGAATACTCCCAACTGATCGTCAAAAAGATGGAAGAATGGATGAATAAGATAACGGAGGACGACACAAAGGACTTCATCCTCCGAACCCACCAGCCTAACGAGGAAGACTCGAAATGGCACATGCCCAGCGTGCCAACAATGTTCACCATGATAAACCAACAACTCAACATCGCGCTCGACAGCAACAAGGGCAACGTCGTAACGGGAGTCGTGGATGAGTGCGTTCGCCTGCTCAAGAACCGCCAGGTCCGTTGGCAAGAGGTCATGGCAGACGAAGTAAACAAGCACGTCAAAGCCACCACAAAGGAAGACCTGGACGACCTCCCGGACGGAATCCTGGAATACATGATGGCGGTGGCAAACGACCAAATCCGTTCAGCAGCCTACACGCAGGAAATCTCAGACCGCGTCGCCCCACTACTCTCCAAGAAATACGAAGATCAAGTCCGCCGTGCGCTAGAAGATGCCATGAACGGCTTCGTGGACCTGGCAACCTACTCCCTCGCACAGATTATAGAAATCATCTTCAACGACCTCAAACCCCCGATAAAGAACCTTTTCACCCCAGTCTGGTACAACGGGTCGGACATGGAAACTATGGCCACGACCATGCGATCCTACATTGTCGACTTAAACCCGGGTCTCGACGCGGATCTGTTCCCGGCATTCATGCACCAGCTCTCGGAAAAGACGTGCGTAGCCTACCTTGGCGGCGTGCACAACAGGGGCGCGAAATTCCGCGCTTCCGAGGCAGCGGCGCAGATCCGCTCGGACGTGGCCGTCGGGTACGGCTTCCTGACGGAGTTCATCGACAGGGGCGAGGTCAAGGGCGTGTGGACCGTACTGGAACACTTCCTTGCCCTCATTTGCAGCGAGAAGCCGCTCCTCGGCGAGAAGTACGATGCCTTCAAGCAGAGTTATTGGGACCTCCCCATCACTTGGGTCGAGGCCGTTATCAAGTGTCGGGATGACAAGAGTAAGGATATGCTCGAGGTTGTCAGGAGCCGTGGGACTTATGTGCCCCGGGGTGGGGAGAGCACTATTATGTCTAGGTTTGTGATTCTTTTGGATGTTGGGCTTGGGGGGATTTAGGCTGACGGGGGTTTTTTTTTTGATAACATAGGCTTAAGTAATCGCATTGGTATGGCTTTGGTAGCGACGTGATATACGCAAATGGCGGGGCCTTGGTAGTGATTAGTTGATGTACTTTCTTTCTTTTTCTTTTTTATTCGCCCTGCTCAGCGTGTACGTGGTGTTTGTGTGCTGCTCCGGGTCATGCTCCACTCGGTTCATTCGATTTATATGATATTTTCCCCGATAAATTTCTCCATCGGATTGATAGAAAGAGCCTTGCTTCACAAACTATCATGCGGTGTCCAATGACAACTGCAATTTAACCTATATACCCACTACCCATCACTCTCCCCCAAGTGCACCACCCCATCGCTAAGCACTTCAACTCCATATCTACTCCCCCCTTCGCTCCCCATCCTCTCAAGAACAACCAAGTAATCCCATCCCCCCTCCAAGTCCACATCCCCTGTCCTAACCCCCTGCGGCACGTCCGAGAACTCCCCCTCGCCCCCGGAACTAGCCTCCGTCTTCCTCCTCCGACTGCCAATCTTCCTCTCGATGGAAATCCTAAGCATCGGTTGCGCCCTCGAGTTCGTCCATAACGTACGAGCATTAGCAGAGACCCTAGTGAAGCGTTCTACTTCTAGTGGATAGGTCACTGCTGTCACACCTGCTTCCCAGGTGCCCTGTAGGTCTTTGCGTAGCTTGCCTGCGGATTCTGAGGGTAATTGGGTGACAGTAGTGCGCGAGATGGTAGACCCGACAGTTAGAGTAAAGTCGCCGATTTGGCCGGGTTCAAAGGTCGATGCAACGATTGTGTATATGCCCTTTTGCAATGAGGCAGTTTCTGCATGAGCACAACCACGGCGGTACTCCCCGCTTTCCGTGATTATGTCGCGGGTGGTCACCGATGCTACGCGTTTTCCGTTGCCCCAGACTAGCTTTACGTGGACGGGAAGGGTATCGCAAGCTTCAAGGAGGAGCATTAGATCGCAGGCTGAGGGGACGGAGAGGCGGAATTGTGGGTTTGTGGAGTAAGTCGGAGATTGAGCATTGCCGCCAGCGGTGTCAGGAAGCCATTGTGATTGCAGGACGCTGTGGAAGCTGTAGGGGTCTTCTGCTTCGGATATGCGGATTGGATTTAGGGAGAATGCGGAGAGCGTGAAGGTGTGTTGGGTCTTAGATAGGTCTTGGGAGGAAACTGCCACGGTGTATTTCGTTTTGGGCGGTATTGCGTCGATACGGAGGAGGGTCTGGGGTGAATCGACGTATGGGCCTGTATGAAGGGCCGACTCTGATCGATAGACTCGCCTTCCTGGGCTTTCGAATACATACAATGATATATAGCTTGTTTTCTCGGTCACAATCCCGGTTTGAGCTTTGTAGGATCCTGTAGAAACTATGTGACGCCCTAGCAACAGCCATACGAGTGCAGGCCGTGGGTTTGGATTCTCCAAACAGAATTGTGGGTTTCCCCCGATACAGCCTTCGGATCTCTTCCCTGAAAGATCCCAAGTGAAGTGGGTATCATTCCTATGCGCAAAAAGGCTTGGATTCCAGTTGAGATATATGCTCGCAAAATGGCGAAAAATATTATCTTGTGATATCCAGAATACACCGGGAGAGGTCTCTTCTTCCGAAGCGGCCGGGAGTGCATTTCCGATCTTGTTCGTTTCAAAGGGGGAAACCCCGGAACCGGCATCAAAATCCTCTTCTTCGTCCGAGTCAAATACCGGAGCACCTTTCCATACAGTACCCTCAGACCATGGATTTTTGACCAACAGCATGCCCTGACCTTTTTCCTCCTTTAGAGCTAAGACAGCATAGTCGTGATCTCCAATCAGGCCTAATTCCATCTCCTCTCTCCTGGTCATGCCTCCGGTCCCTAATGTGATTAAAACGTCACCATATCTCCATGCCTTGTACATCCTTTTCCACAGGCTTCCTGGTAGAACATCATCGGACTGGAGGAATACATGCTCGGGAATCCATCCAGTTAATGCTAGCAAATCCGTCCCAGAATTCGAGCCAGGGAAATCATATCCGCCCATCAACTTTAGATAAGCCTTCTCGATGAGTGCAGGGTAAAAGACATTTGGATCGTTACGGCAAGTCACGTGTAATGCCCGGGAATTATTTGAAACAGGTAGGTAATCATCGACAATCACCTAACCAATGGCTCTATGAGTATTTGTGTTTGATGCTCGTGAGGACTCTAACCTTGCGAAAACAACCGTTAAAGTAGAGCTTGACGATATATTTTCCAAGAGGACTAGTTATTGGACAATCATATTTATTTTGTGGGTATAAAATATTTGAAAGGATCTAACCTAAGGGCTTAGTTCATACCTGGTAAGGAAATCCCCCGATCTCAAAGGAAAACTTACCTTCCCGAAACCGTGTTCCTCTCTTCCTATAGCTGAACATAAACTAGCCACGACTGAGCAATCGGTGACAACATCTTGAGTCAGGTCAAGTGTGCGCCCCCCTCCAGGAAACGAAACTTCCCCATTCTCAAATATTTCGTTCGGCCGTCTCCAAGCTGCCAACATGGATCGCTGTGAATCGGAGAGATGTAAAAATCCAGAGGGGTCTCTCGTTCGTGTCAGGCCGGCAATCCCAATCACAGGGGGGAAAAACGACAGTGGCTTACGAAAACAGCCCATCCGGGAAAAATTCTGAAGGCTTAGGATCACTTTCCCATGGTGGATAAGAAAGGCCGTTCACCTTAGACGACTTCCATAGTAGCGTTTGCTCTTTAACCGTAAGTTTGTTGGTAGAGATTAGCGATTTTCGGCCAGTGGCAATTCCCGAGCTGCTCGGGTGAGGTGCTGGTGGATTATGGTCCCCATCCTGGACTCTCTCCAATGCCTTCTTTTGAAGTTTTTTGATCCACTCGGCCTTCCTGATGAGCTGCTCACACTTTTCGCTTAACCGCGGCTTGTCGACGTCAGGGGCTTGTAGGCGCGCTTTCATGCAATGTTCGATGGACCTTATTGCGGCTTCGAGGGACTCGTCGTACTTTGCGTCGAGGAATAGGGAAGCTGCAAGAGATTCGGCTGCCTGCAGGGTCGAGGTTAGTTTGGCGGTGGTTTTGAAGAGTTTGGGTTGTGTGCGCGCCTACGATTATATTTTCCTCAAGCAGTGATCGCTGGGAAGCGAGTCTTGTTTGCTGCATCGGGCTATTCATCGTCTATTATGGACCTGATGACGTTGGGTGAGGCCTAGAGTTGTCCGTATGGTTCATGCTAAGCTCCGGGAGAAACGCCTCCACCGCCACAGTATGCGCATATCATGGCTAATCACTCGTAATATTTGTCAAAGGATTTACGTAGTCTTAAGGTCTAATCTTTCTAGGGAAATGAGATCAGAGAGACATGCCCACACACACGTCTTTGGGACCAGGCCCCGTTCACTCGCGCATTTCCCTTCCAGAGTTTCCCACGCCATTCGTTGCGAGCGTAAGGTGCTTCCCACTATCAAGTCGTAGACTCTGGAGCAAAGTCTAGAGATTTTTTTTTATACCCCCTAGCAGCGGCCAAGGAGTAGCATCCATAAACCCCGCCTTTTATCTGCAGAAGAGATAGGCAATAGAGGGCTGGGCTGTTGGTCCGTGTTGAACATATCAAGTTCGACTGTATTGCTGGGTGTGATGCAAAGCACAGCGTAATGGTTTTCTTCTTTTCCTACACAGCAGTATGAAACGTGTAAGTAGATAAATCTTACTCCTAAGTGATGTTCCTACGAAACCTTGCTTTAATTCTGCCCGGATTTTCTGAATTATGATGAACGAATAATTGGGCACCACAATAACATCATTGTTGGTGAGGTTGAGATCTTATATCGGTACAGCCTATGTTAAAAGTATTGTCCCATATCCCGTTTTCCCACAGGAGTCGATATATTCATTAGCTGAAAAAAAATAATGAAAGCAAATTAATTAAGATTATTTAAGATTATGAAGAGTAGATATTTATGAGGAAAATTTTTTTATAATTTTTCTTTTATTTTATTGATTTATCCTACAAGGTCAGCCTTCAGTCATGCTATGCATAGATAAATAAATTACAGGCACAGCTCCTGCAAATATGGAAAATTTGCTACTTCTATTAAATGATAAGATGATCCCCGTGAAAAAAAATTATATAATTTTCTGTTTGTCTTTACAATATTTTATTATATAGAAATGGGCTAGTTAATTACCCAGGTTTAGGTACCTTCTGGTGGGGTTTTAGAAAGCAGGACAATACTCGCAACCAATTTAGTTTTTGAGATTCGGGGTATCATAAGTCAACCAGGTTGGCATACCAGTACAGCTACGTGCAGAAAGTTCTGACACCCCGGCTGGTACTGTAACATAAAAGGGCTATAGGAGATGCATTATCATGTACAGGTATTTCAAGAAGCAGATTCATTATCCTTCAAACTACCACTTCGTATGCCCTCCATTATTTGCAATAACTGCCCGTATCCTATTTCCCATACTCCTAACTAATTTATTTAACATATTTTGATCAATCTCTTCCCACTCTGCTGCCATCGCAGTCCATAATTCATCCTCGTTACTAGGTCCAGTTTCAATAGTTGTAAATCGGTGTCGAAGCCGGGCTTTGAGAATACTCCAAACGTTTTCGATTGGATTAAGGTCGGGGGAAGAGTCTGGAAGGCATAGGATTTGAACCCCATATTTTGGGTAAATAGTCCTGTTGAGATCACTAAAGTGATATCCCGTATTATCCAGAACAACACAATAGTCCTCTATCTCGTTGTCAAGTGAAAGGAGATAAGGGATCAGGTATGGCTCATTGACCTCGGTTGCATATTGATGACTGTTAATACCGAGTCTGTCATGATTGGAGGTTCATTCTTCAGGTTGACGCTGTCGAAGGTGAATTAGAGGTGTCTGACTTCCATAGGTAAATGTAGCCCAACATCCAACTCCAAATCTTCCTGATCGAAAGGTAGGTACAATGTTTTGATTGAGTAACTCTTGTCCAGGCTTGACTCATACCCTTCAATTATAGTGATAACCCTCAAACTCAACCTTAGCCTCATCCAACCAAACCATTCTCTTCCACTTATCCAAATCCCATTCAATCTTCCATAGACACCAGTGTTTGCGTCGAATCTTTTTGAAACTATAGAGGAAGAGCTTTTTGCGAGGCATTTGTAGACTGAAACCAAGTCGTTTCACGGTCTTGTTCAAGGTTGTACGACTAACTTGAATATCAAGCTCTTGAAGCTTCTTCGTAAGCTCTTTTAAAGATGCCCATGAATTTGCCTCAACTAGGGAATCAACTGTTTCTGCTATTTCTTCTGTAATTTTTGATGGTCTACCAGAGCGAGATGTGTCATCTGAAGAGCCCGGGGTTTGAAATCGTTTAACAATATTATGAATAGTAGAGACAGGAATTTTGGTTTTCTCAGCTGTTCGCTTATACCCCCAGCCCAGACTTCTTAGAAAAATCACTTCCTGCCGCTTGTCATGTTTGGATATACTTGAAGTATGTGGAGGTGCCATTTGCTGATTTTCAGAGAAGATTTGATTTTCAAGAGAGTGGATAATCAATAGAAGAATACTGATCGGGAATGATGATACCCATTGACTGACTTGTTACCTGTATGATTTGGTTACCTAAGTATGAGTTCATAATAATACATCTACTATAGCCCTTTTGTGTTACAGTACCACCCGGGGTGTCAGAACTTTCTGCACGTAGCTGTACTATTAGTCTATGCGGGCACTGCTGTGGCATCCGAGGGAATTTTTTGTGACCTTGACCGTTATTATCATATTATTGTGTAGCAAAGCAACCGTACGAGTAGTTGAGTTTTATATTAATAATATCGAACCTTCGTACTGAGCTTTTATGATAATACAAACGCTGGCCAGTAAGGACCAGGGCGTCGGGGCGAAAACAGTTTGGCTCATCGATAAATTTTTTGAACCTTGCAATCATCGAACCCTAAATGCCGTGGCACAAAGCTTAACATCAACTTCAATGGGATAATTTATGCAAACCCCAAAACTTTTTTTTCCCCCTTCCTTCCTTTCTCCTTTCCCATCATCCAAACTTCCAAACCGCCTCAATTCAGCGTGAAAAAAAAAAAAACGAGAGAACACAAGGAAACACTCCATTCGCTTTACCTCCAAAGTCATTTCCCCCTGTCATATGGCAAATAGATGGCCGTCCCTTCCAAATCCTCACTTTTGAACCTAAAGATGCCACAGCTCAAGTTTCTGCTCAAGAGTCTGGGGCTCGACATGGGTGGCACGAAGGAGCAAATGGTTTCACGGATAACCTCACCCAAGGCTGCGCCGATGGATTCGCCGAGACGGGTGGTCAGTATTGACATGGGCATTCGGAATCTCGCCTTCTGCTTTATAGAGTTACCCAGCCCTCGGAAGAAGCTGGCTCGACCGAAGGTGTTGGCGTGGGAGCGGATATGTATCCCGCCTACGGAAGCCGGGAGGACCCCGCCTGGAATGGAGATTTGGAATAATACAAAGGTACCCGGGGATGAAGAGGAAGATGAGGTGGAGGCGGCGGAGGTGGAGGTGGAAGAGGGGAAAGGGAAGAAGAAGATGAAGACGCAGAAGAAAGAGGCGGCTAAACCGGAAGCTAGGAGGGTGAGAATGTCGCAGTTTATGGAGGAATTGAAAGGACTTGTTCCTGGTTTGAATACTGGGGCCCAGACAAAGGCGAGAAAGGATTTACAGGTGGCCGAGGCGTCTGTGGGGATGGAGCAGTTGGCTGCGTCTAGAAATTGGGGGCAAACACTCTCGGAACGATTGAAAATGACGGGGAAGTCAAGGTCAATGGAATCGGCCCAAGAAGGGCCAGGGAGCAGTCCCCGTTTAGGGGAGAGTTATGCCATGATGGAAGAGCAATCAGACCTCGACTCGGCCCCAGCAGTTACGAGGTCCTCTTCTTCCTCCTCCTCTGTCTCGAAAAAGAAACGAAAACCCCAAGATCTCGATGAACTCCGCCAAATCCTAGCCGAATCCCTGGCTGAGCGCGATGCCAACCCACCCCTAAAGCCCATAAAAGAGTCCTTCGAGCCAGCAATATTCGCCGTGCACGCCAACAACTTCTGCCGCAGTCTCCTCCAACGCTTCCCACCCTTGGACGCCATCCTGATCGAGCAGCAGCGGATAAAGTCCGGCGCCGGCATCGCTGTGGTGGAATGGATCGTGCACGTCAACCGTTTCGAGGCTATGATCCATGCCACCCTGCGCTGTCTCCGTGACGAGAGGAGGATCTCCGCCAGCGTCGAGAGCGTTAGTCCCGCGCGCGTCATGGACTACTGGATCGACGAGGGCATAAAGGTCATGAGTCGCGTGCGGAGGCGCACCGCTGGTGGGGAAATGGCGTACGTCGAGAGGAAGGTTAGCGGGCCGAATAAAACCAAGATGCAGAAGATCGCCCTGGTCAGCGAGTGGGTTGAGGAGGGGATGACGTTTGACGTCGCTGAGGGACTCGAGGACATTGCAGATCACTTTGTGCGCCCTCAGGCCGGCGTCAGGAAGAAGGTTGTCAAGTTGGATGATCTGGCCGATTGTCTGTTGCAGGGGCTGGCTTGGGCTGAGTGGCAGGAGAATAGAAGGAAGTTCGCTGATGGGACCCTCCTAGATGAACTGGAAATAAGGACTGAAAAGTGATCCGGGGTGTTCTCTCTGAACAGCTGATGGTGCCCCCCTTTTTTTTCCTTATTATCATCATTTGTTTTCGTGGAAAAAAACAAAAATTTCGGGTCTTGTGTCATGAACTTGGGCAGTATTTTGGGGCAAATATTAGATACCCCCATTATTGGTAATGAGGAAAAGGAAGAAACCTCAGCTCCGAATTCTATACGACTATGTACAAAATAGAAACACACACACATGCACATGTATAAAAGCAGCGGATACGGATCGTGAGAGTGGGCGATAGGATGCACGTTAGGTAATCAAGACGCAGTTGTTGACGGTTGTGGAAAGCTTGTTGGAGGGACTTGGGCTGGGAGTCCTCTCCAAGTGCTTATTGTGTTCAACATCCCCTCGCTCTTTTGTGCCGCCCCCTTTGTAAGTTGCGTGACGTCCAACGTGAGGTTCGCGCGAACGTTCTTGACTTCCTCGTCCAACATGATTTCCTTCCCAACCTTCTCCTCCGCCATCCAGAGCTCAAAGGACTTCTCTCTCAGGTCTTTATTCCGCAACACCGTTTGTCGTAATAAGTTCTCGGAATGCAGCTTGGCGTAGACAAGTTCTGAAGCCTTGTTCAGAGTCTCCAATTTCTCCTGCACACGGAGCCCATCTAAGCCCGCGGTCCACCTCCCAGTTCCCGTGAGAAAGATAACATAACCTAGCCAAGCATCCACAAACGCAATCCCAATCCCACGCCAAAGGATCAACCTCCAGTGTGTCCAGACCACGTCAGCGGGCAGCTTCGCCAAAGCATTAGCGTTGTGATCTGATGTCGAAACTCCGACAACGCACAGCTCTGCTAGGAAGAGCGCGAGCCCAGCAACCGTAGCCTGAGTCCTCCACACACTCCCGAAGGGGGAGAAGTAAGAAGATGTAACAACACCCAACACAGCGATATGCAGAAGATGCGGTAGCGCAAGAGTCGGTAAGGCATAGAACAGGTAGGTATTCGCCTCTTCCAAGCTACACCACGAACACTCCACCAGCGGCTTCGGTCCGAAGGTGGCGTACGCCAGCCTTGCCTCCTTCGGCACCAACCGCGCACGGAGTATTTCATCGTCAGGCGTAATGTCCCGTATCTTGGAAAGCCGGTTAAAGAGAACATCAGTGGGGATCTGCAACCTTGAGCCCGTCTTTTGGAAGATATTTTCAGGAGCGAAGGCTGGGAGGGTGGAGAGGAGGGCGACTACCCCGGTTGCGAAGAGAATATTTAAGATACGGTGGGTACCCGGAGTGAGGACTCTCGGGGGACCGCGGAGCTTTGTGGATTGGTAGAAGGCTTTGCCGCGGGAGTAGATTATCGGTCCTAATAGGATGAGGAAGGGTTGTATTGTTGACCAGGAGACCATGGTGATGGGTGCTTAAGGAGTGTCTGTGTTTTGATAGATATACCGGTATGGTGCCCGATGGTCGGGGAGTGGATGTTGTGAAACAGCACAATATGACAGGTGGTAGCAGAGGTGGTGATTAGTGGGGGAAGCGAGCGAGTTCAAAGTTTCGATGGAGGTGTCCCCAACAGTGGGAAGTTGGTACGAGTAGATGCACAGACAAGCCTCTGGCACACTTCGGTTCATTAGTCTTGGCGATATTCTGCCACAACCCAAAAGATGCAACAACCCCCCAAAAGGAAAAGGGATTGTCGTGCCCTTTCCGCCCCGCATCATCGTCTTCCACCACCCCGCCATACAACGACCCGACATTTCCTATCAGACCCTTCCTTCCCACAAAATCATCTCCGCACTTGAACAGCTCCCTTGGAAGTTTGCTCTGGATAACTATCCTTTTTTTTTCTCTTCGTAATGCAGGCTCCAGTACTAGTTATGAACACCCAGTCCGGGGAGCGACAGACCGGTACCTTTTCGCCTATTTTTATATTCCGCTTTTATCTGGTCAAATTTGATCTCTGACGTGTGATTGTTTCGATAAATAGGACGTAAAGCTCAAATTTCAAATATCACCGCTGCTAAGACTGTTGCGGACATCATTCGGTCTTGTTTAGGTCCAAAAGCAATGTTGAAAATGCTGTTGGACCCAATGGGTGGAATCGTGCTGACAAACGATGGCCATGCTATTCTGAGGGAGATTGAGGTCGCACACCCTGCTGCTAAGAGTATGATTGAGTTGAGCCGGACGCAGGTATGACCGTTTTCCCCACCCTGTTTCCTGCTACTGTTGCTTCTAGTCCCGGGGGTGGCGGGGTGACGGGGGCCGTGAAGGCAACTCGGGTTTTCTGTAGGAGTAACCATTGACCTTATGGTCTCTTTGTGAATAGGACGAAGAAGTTGGTGATGGCACTACTACCGTTATCATCCTTGCCGGTGAAATACTCGCACAAGCTCTTCCCCATTTGCAACGCAACATTCACCCGGTCGTCATTATCCAAGCTTTCAAGAGAGCTCTTGCCGATGCCCTGGCTATCGTTGAGGACATCTCCATTCCTATCTCTACTGACGACGATAAGGCGATGCATAACTTGATTCAGTCTTCCATCGGCACAAAGTTTGTCTCTAGGTGGTCGAAGCTAATGTGTGATCTTGCTCTTTCGGCTGTCCGCACCGTGGCGAGAGATCAGGGTGGAAAGAAAGAGGTCGACATCAAGCGTTACGCCAGGGTTGAGAAGATTCCTGGGGGAGAGATTGAGGATTCGAGAGTTCTTGACGGTGTCATGCTGAATAAGGATATTACGCACCCGAAGATGAGGAGGAGGATCGAGAACCCTAGAATTATCTTACTGGATTGCCCGCTGGAGTATAAGAAGGGAGAGTCTCAGACTAATATCGAAATTAGTAAGGAGGAGGACTGGAGTAAGATCTTGGAAATAGAGGAGAGGCAGGTTAAGGCTATGTGTGATGCCATTTTAGCGTTCAAGCCGGATTTGGTCGTTACTGAAAAGGGAGTTTCGGGTGTGACCCCCCCCCCATGGTCCTTCATTGGGACAAAAGGTTAACAATACTGCCTTAAGATCTTGCTCAGCACTACCTCCTCAAGGGCAATGTAACAGCCCTTCGTCGTGTCAGAAAGACCGATAACAACCGTATCGCCCGTGCCGTTGGTGCTACAATTGTGAATCGTGTAGACGACATCAACGAGTCAGATGTTGGCACAAAATGTGGTCTCTTTGATATTGAGAAAATTGGTGATGAGTATGTGATCCTACCCTTGGGCTTCATGAGAGCAGCACAACTGACTCTCTTAGATATTTTTCGTTTATGACAAAGTGCGAAGATCCTAAAGCTTGCACAATCCTCCTCCGTGGCCCCTCCAAAGATATCCTTAACGAAATCGAACGTAATCTGCAAGACGCAATGGCAGTGGCACGCAACGTCTTTTTCCACCCCCGGTTGGCCCCTGGAGGTGGCGCAACTGAGATGGCTATCTCTGCACGCCTCGCAGAGATTTCAAAGTCCATAGAGGGTGTGCAGCAGTGGCCATACAGAGGAGTTGCAGAGGCCCTGGAAGTCATTCCTAGGACACTGGTCACGAACTCCGGCGCCAGCCCAATTAGAGTACTCACCCAGTTACGCGCAAAGCATGTCGCGAAGGAGCACACCTGGGGCATTGACGGCGATACCGGCAAGATTGTTGATATGAAGGAGTATGGTGTCTGGGAGCCCGAGGCAGTGAAGTTACAAAGCATTAAGACAGCTATTGAGGTGAGACAAGAAGCTTATTTACGTGTTTGAATTTGCATTTCACTAATAATTTCTCTAGTCTGCATGCCTGCTTCTTCGTGTTGATGAAATCTGCGGCGCCAAGGGGGCTAAGCAGGGTGGTGGGGGTGGCGGGGGTCAAGAGGAATAGACAAAAGCTACTAAGACATAGAACTATTTCATTGAACTTCTTGGGCAAAATTATATCAAAATCAGATTCTCATTGTGCCACATGCTATCATACAAAATTTAGTAATATTACCACAATTATAAACCATTTGGAGGCCAACCCGAGTGATGCTATGTGATACCCAATTCCTGGGTATGATATCATCATACCGTAATATCATAACCGGGTAACTTTAATAGCCACAGGTTCCGGGTTCAGAGGTGGCGGTAGAATGCTTAGTCTACTCGAGTATTATCCTGTATCATACCGTACTCCAGCTTAAGATCAATTGTTAACTTGGATTAACTCCTTTTACAAGCATACCCCACAATCAGTCGTCTACACATAATTCAACTGCTCTGTGGAGATAGTGTCACCCCCACAAATACCAATAATGGATCCCTCGGTCTCCTCATTCAACCCACTTCTCGACCTTTTGCTTCCGCACATCCCTCAATCGGCTGCCCTACCAGACCCGGCCGTTTCAACACAATACTTCTCCCGGATATCTTCACTTGCACTCACCTCAATTGTGGACTCCGAACCAGCATCGTTATCATCTTCTTTACACTCCCTAAACCTCTCGCTACAATCCCTCTCATCACGGTCTCACAAGTCCATCATAGCCGCTTCTAACCACCTCTCAGCGGTCCCCCAATCCATCCAGTCGCTTCACTCCTCCCTCACTACACTCGAGAACAGCCTGCCTGCGATTGACTCTGAAATAACAAGCTTTACCACAAATTTTAGTCGAGACGGGACATACCTAACTAACCGCTCAAGAACCCACCTCCTCTCCAAAAACCTGGACAGACTCTTGGACATTCTGCAACTCCCAGCGCTCCTCCAATCCCTAATCTCTACATCCTCGTACCCAACAGCGCTCGACCTTCTAGCTCATGTCCGAAGACTACATTCGCTATACCATGACTCGCCAACAATCGACTCGGTCTACGCAGAATGCGAAACGCTACAAAAGTCCATGACCGCAAATCTGATCAGCACCCTCCGCGGTCCATTGAAGCTCCCGACAGCAATGAAAACGATCGGCTTCCTCCGCCGCTGTGGTACCAAAGAAGCCGTAATGGATGAACGAGGTCTGCGCGGACTATTTCTTGTCTGCAGACTCGCATTTCTCTCTGGCCTCCTCAGCGCCTTAGACCCGCTCAAGGAACTAGCTGAAGAAGAGCGGGAGCGCCGACAAAATGGCGGAGACGAAAATACTTCCTCAACCGATACTACAACAACCACAACACCTAGTAGTTGGGGTGGCGGCACGCAGACAGAGCGCTACTTAAAACGCTGGATAGAAGTCTTCCGAGAGCAGAGTTTCGGTATAGTTTCCATGTACAAGAGCATCTTCCCGAACGCTCTCCCCGCCGCGAACCCGGACCCCCCACCACCGAGTTCTCCGCATCCACATTCGCCGATAATGAGCTCTGTGGGGATAGGGATCCGCAGTAGGAGCAGTTCAACCCTATCGAACATGAGCTCCAGCGCGAATGATGATGATCCTGAAGGTGGCCAGGCTCCAGATCCGCTGGCAAGCTTTGTGTTGCATTTGTTGTCGCTCTTGACCGAGACGCTGGGGAGGTACCTGAAGACTATTGAGGAGAGGAGTGTTCGGGAGAGTTTGCTTACGCAGGTGCTGTACGCTGCCGGGAGTATGGGAAGACTGGGTGGGGAGTTTGGGGCTATTCTGGGCGTTATTGAGTGTTTTGGCATGGGAGATGGGGAACGGGAGGAGGGAAAGGATGGGGATGGAGAGGAAGAGGAGTGGGTAGGGGTTGTAGCGAAGCATAAAGTTCTGGCAAGTAGGCTGGAGACGTTGGCTGGAAGGGGATAGCTTTGGTTTGATGGGGTCTCCTCGAGGCTGTTTCTCCTGGTGGCTCAATTGCTGCCCCTCATATTGGGTATGATTTAAGGTGCAATGTAAAACATTACCATTGTAACCGCTTAGTACTTGTAGAAGCAGCATGAACTCCAGGACTGGATACATCTAGTCAACAAAAAGCTTCCCTTTCTGTACATTATTACAGCACAAACATTAAATCATGAGGAAAAAAACGTCACAAAAAGTAAAAAAAATCAACAATTTTTTTGTTCCGCCCAACAGGGTCTAAGCTATCCCGCTCAATCCCATAGCTACAGTATTGCGGCACCCATCCCTCAATTCCCCCCAACCCCACCCTCCCCACAGCTACCACTACCTTCTCCTTCCCCAGCTTTCTCCGCACCCCTTTCCCTCTCTCCTTCTTTCTTCCCCTCAGCTACGACCTCGCCTAACATCCCCATCGCCAACCCCTGATTCATGATCTCCGCCCGGAAGCCCGGTTGCTGCAACAACGTCAGTGCCGCCAGCGAGTGCACTGGGTACGTGAGCAGCTTCGTGTACTCTGGTTTGCGAAAGTACTGAAGGTAGATGATGTAGTTTTTGAATCGCTCGTCTTCCAGGGTTTTGCTGTGCGCAAGGAAGTTTAGGTAGAAGGGGTTTGCGAGACATTGGACGAACTAGACACGTTAGCAGTTGGGTGAGGATGGAGGGAAAGGGAAGGAACCTCAAGTTCTACTTCGAAGCGGGTGTAGGGGATTGCCATGGCCCCCCTTGGTTGTAGGGGGAGGTGAGAGGAGTGGGGTATGGTGCTGCGAGTTAAAGGCTGTGTTGTTTGCTTTTGCTACTTGCTTGCTGCAAGGATGGTGTGGTACCGATACTCGTACTCGTCTTGCTGTAGGGTGTCACTAAATCTGACCCCTCCCCCGCTGTAAGGTACCGTACCCAAGTACTCGAGTACAGTGTTCGAGATGGTGAAAAGAGCTGGGTGGCACAAGTACGGTGGTCCTCCGACGGGGTACCGTGTAGTCCATTCCTCCGAACTCAACGCGCCGAATGAAGGCCGGCGGGGGCTACCATCATAGCTCTGCCAAGCCTATCCTAGGTTTTACCAAAGTGAGGTCAAAGGGTTCGCGCCTTGCCCTCGAGATCTCTGGGTGCCATGATTAGATATTATATCATACCAGGTGCAAAGAGTATCATAATGCGGGCTAATTCCTCCTTTGATTCCTACGGGAAACTACAACCTGTTATAAGCCATCTGTCTGCCTTTGAAATCCCCGAATGGGCAGAGAGTCCATTATATCGAGAATAACGAATCTTCATTCCATTTATAAGCACCATCCCCCGCGTCTACAGTACACCCCACCATCTTTAGTCGCCTCTCTCCTCCCCACCACCAACATCCACCCCCAATCAACCTGAAAATGCTAGAAAACGTAAAACATGTTGTCCTAGTAAGCCCTCCCCCCTACCCCTGAATACCACTGGCTAACCCCCCACAGGTCCTCTCCGGCAAAGGCGGTGTCGGCAAATCCTCCGTATCTGTTCAACTTGCTCTGACCCTCGCCCGGGCTGGCAAAAAAGTCGGAGTCCTAGACATAGACCTGACAGGCCCGAACATCCCGCGGATGTTCAACGTAGAGGAGGAAAAGGTCCACCAGGCGCCCGGTGGCTGGATCCCCGTGAAAGTCGGGGACTTGGGCTCAGCGGGGGATGGTGTAGGGAGTATCGAGTGTATGAGTTTGGGTTTCCTGCTTCGAGATCGGGGAGATAGTGTTGTTTGGAGAGGGCCTAAGAAGACGGCTATGGTCAGGCAGTTCCTTACCGACGTTCTGTGGGGGGATGTGGATTATTTATTGGTTGATACTCCGCCAGGTATTCTTTCTCTTCCCCCTCTCTCGTTTGCCCCTGTCGATGTTGATACGAGGTGCACGACAGGGACCTCCGACGAACACATCTCCTTAGCAGAGCAGCTCCGCAGCGTATCCCCCGACGGCGCCATTGTCGTGACGACCCCACAGGCAATTTCCACGGCAGACGTGTGCAAGGAGCTCAACTTTTGCAAAAAGGTCGGGCTTGACATCCTCGGCGTGATCGAGAACATGAGTGGTTTCGTGTGTCCACATTGCTCCACCTGCACGAACATCTTCTCTAGCGGCGGTGGTGCCGTCATGGCGGAGCAGTTTGGCGTGGACTTTTTCGGCGCCGTGCCGATTGATCCGGCCTTCAATCTTATGCTCGAGAGACAGAAGGAGACGACGGATGAGGTGGGGCTGCTACAGAGGTATGGAGAATCGAAGCTTTTCCCGGTGTTTGAGGGGATTACGGAAAAGTTGTTGGCGAAGACAGAGAAGGCAGTTGCAAATGGGAGTGGGAACGGTGAGGGTGGATAAGGTTGGGAATTGGAATGGGGCCTGTATACTTGTATGAGTAGCAGATAGCGACTTGATCATGACGGGAAATACCAATGCAATGGCTAGACTACCCTATTCCTAAAATTTTCGTTTTAAAGTGTTTAGAGATTAGACCGTTCTCAATCGTGAAATATCACTGCCGTCGATCACACCATGCGAACAACCTCGGAAAAAGCAATGATCAATTAAAAAATTAAAAATAAAGGCTACTATTGGGAACAAGCCTTCGAAATACTTGTAAGTTAAGTTACTCTACTTGTATCGTACTCGCTCTGCAACCCACCCGCGACCCTCTCTCCACACCCCACCATGCAGCCGGGTAACCCCGTAGGGTTCCAACTGCTCTTCATTGAAAGAAAAAGTAAAGGTTCCTTCCTCCAACCACTCCCCAACACCAAAGTTCCACCTTCAATCGCAACAAATCAACGATGCCAAAAATCAAGAAGAAGGGTAGGTGCTATTGCAATAAATTGGCGCCATGTAAAGGGGTGTGTGGCTAACAATTAACAACAGGAGTCTCTGGCAATGCCAAAAACTTCATAACACGGACGCAAGCCGTTCGAAAGCTGCAGGTTTCGCTACCGGATTTTCGGAGGCTGTGTATTTTTAAAGGTGTGTTTGCTTACTCTCATTAACGGATGGAGAGGAGGAAAAGGGCAAATGCTGAAGGGTGGATGGATGAGAATTAGGAATTTATCCCCGTGAACCTAGGAATAAGAAGAAGGCGAATAAAGGGTCTACACAGTCTACCACTTTTTATTACGTATGTGCTTTTTTCCTCTCAACTCCGCTTTCTTTTAATGACTAATGTGAAGGTGGGATATGATAGACCAAAGACATCCAATACCTCCTCCACGAACCCGTCCTGCAAAAATTCCGCGACCACAAAGCCTTCGCAAAAAAACTCCAAAAGGCCCTCGGCCGTGGTGACTTCTCAGATGCAAAACGTCTGGAAACCACCCAGAAGCCAGTAGTCCGACTAGACCACATCGTGAAGGAGCGCTACCCAACCTTCACCGACGCCCTGCGCGACCTGGACGACGCCCTCTCCATGATCCACCTCTTCGCCAGCCTACCCACAAATGAAAACTTGCCTCCCGCAACCGTGGTCAATTGCGCCAGACTCACGAAGGAGTGGGCACACTACGTCATCCGTGCGGGCGCGCTACGGAAGAGCTTTTTGAGCATCAAGGGGATTTATTACCAGGCTGAGGTCGGGGGCGGTCAGGAGGTACTTTGGTTGGTCCCGTACAGCTTCGCCCAGGATGTTCCGATTGACGTGGACTTTCGGATTATGCATACCTTTGTGGAGTTTTATACCACACTTGTTGGGTTCGCGCTTTTTAGGCTATATGCTATCGAGGGGCTCGTCTACCCGCCCAGGTTTGATAAGGATATGGATGAGAATGCGGGTGGGTTGGGGGCTTTCAGTATTGAGAGTCGAGGGGTTGTTGGACTTTTTACTGCTGGGAGTGAGGAGAAGAAGCGTGGTGAAGAGGCTGGGGAGAGGAAGGATGTGTCGAAGCAGATGGCTACCTTGGGTGCTAAGATTGCTTCCTTCACGAAGGAAGACTCTACCACCATCACCGAGCCCGGGCAAGAGGGAACACCTAGAGAAGACCTAACAATAGATACCTTTACCCCTGCCGCCGCCTCCGACCAGCTCCCGCAACCTACTCCATCACAAACAACCTCCACCTCAACGGCTCTCTTCTCAGGTACCACTTTCTACCTCTCCCGTGAAACCCCCCGCGAACCGCTAGAATTCCTCCTGAGATCCTTCGGCTGCAAGCGCATCGGCTGGGATGCTGTACTAGGCGCAGGCGCATACACCGAGAATTCTAGTGACACAAGCATAACCCATCAAATCGTTGACCGGCCCTCCACCTTCCCTTCTCCTCCCCCTCCTTCTGCCGCAGGCGGCGACAACGCCCCTAGCACAAATGCTGCTGCCACAGGGAGAATTCCGGGAAGGATATACATCCAGCCACAATACGTCTGGGACTGCATTAACTCCGGGAGACTACTTCCGCCGGGGGAGTACGCCCCTGGGGCACTTCTACCACCACACCTGAGCCCGTGGGTTAAACCTGGTGAGGGATACGACCCCACCGCTGCACTCCCAGATGTTGAGCACAACGAAGAAGTAGAAGGCTCAGACAATGGTATGCAAGAAGACCTAGCCTCTGACTCTGAGCCCGAGCCCGAACCTGTCCTTCCCCTTCCCACCACCGTCACCCCCATCGAAGGCGAATCCTCGGAAGAGGAGGAGGAGGAGGAGAGCGAGAAGAACTACCAACGTGAGCTCGCCACCGAAGCTGCCGGTGCTGGACTCCCCGCCCCTTCTGAACAGGACATGAAGAAGCAAAAGAAGAAGAATAAGGAAAAAATGAGCAGACAACAACGAGAGGAAGAAGATCAAAAGGAAATGAAGAAAATCATGATGAGTCGGAGGAAGAGAAAGCTGTATGAGAAGATGCTTTATTCAAATGCAAAGAAGGAAAGCGAGGTTGAGGGGTTGAAGAGGAAGAGGAGGAGGTTGGAAGGGGAGAGAAGTAAAGGGAAGAAGGGTGGGAAGGGTAGCGAGGAAATGTAGTGGGTTTTATAGTGGATATTGTGATAGAGGGTAGTCCGATATTATTTGAGTGGGTAGATGGGCGGGCGTGGAGGGGGAAAGTGTATCGTAAATAGGCTTGCTACAAAAGTTTTTTTTATTTAATTCTCTCTATTATTAGTACTCTTTACGACACGATGTTTGCGGTTCATCCCTAAAGTGAGTCTCTTTACACAGTGAAATCTACGTTTTTTTTAAAAAAAGGATCTTTTATCATTTATTTCCATAAAATCATGACATCGATCATGAAACATCAATCGTCAACAATCCCCCAATCATAGCCGTGATCTAGAATACATATCATGAAAGGAAATTTGAAAACAAAGCAAGGGGATCTATAGCTACGGCAATGCAAGTGTGGAAATGTTTTTCGTAAACAGCAAAAAAAAAAACCAGGAAAAGAGTTACCATCCGGCGCAGAATCATGTACCTGTGCCCAATCAAGATTTTAAAAGCAACTTCGTAAGGATAAATAATAAGAGTGGGGGTTTTGAAAAAGATGAGATAATAGTATGAAAAGTCAACAGTACACCCATGCGGTCATTAGTATTGATGAGTGAAGATGATATATTCAACGAGCAATCTTAGAGAGAAAAAGCAATACCATAGTAGAAAGCGATATTAGAGAAATAAGAAAAGATATATGTGCAGAAACTTGCTTCCTTCCTTAGAAAATTACCCGGCTAATCATCGAAAACGCAAATAACAAGATGGGAGCAGTAGAAAGAGTGCACCACCTACATCGGAACACACATCCTCCTTCTAGACATTGACTCCACCACATTGACCCCTAGTCTTCGCATCCATCTCTTCCTTGGGTTCCATTTTAGCTCTAGCTTTCTCATCGCGCTGACGCTTGAGCAAGGCCCTAAGGACACACTTCTCGGATTCTGCTTCGCCTTCTTGACCGATATCCGGAACCTCGACGAGGATTTCCTTCATCATCCCAGTGCCGATCCAGACCTTTCTCATCCTTGGTCCAGGTTCAGGGGAGAGGTCTAAGGAGGTTTCGGAAGAGACGCGCTTTTTGCCCTTATGTTTTGGACCGGCCTTACATTCTTTGCAGGTACGCCCATGGCGGATAAGGAGGTTGTGCAATGCGTACTTGTGTTCGGCGGGGACTCTAACGTCGAGATGAGCGTAGGTAGTCTCTCTGGTTGCCTTTGCCGGGACCCATTTGAGAAATTTGGATAGTCTGAAAACGTGTGTGTCCACAGCAAAGGAGTCACGTCGGAGGCCTGTAATGAATCATCAGTAATTGAAATGTTAGTAGAGGGAAGGAGTTATTACAGAAGAGCATAACACAACTAGCTGTCTTAGGACCGACACCATCAAAAGATGTAAGCTTCTGGCGAGCTTCGTCGTCAGACAGTTTATGGATATAATCTAAAGATAGGTCACCGTCTTCGTCATCCTTGTCGGGGTTGCTGAGAGGCTCCTTCTTGACAGTCTCTTCCTTTTCAATGCTCTCTTCCATTTTTATGCCATCTTCCAGCTTAGTAGAACCCTCTTCTTTGATCCTCTCGGCACGTTTGCGTTCGATACTCTCCTTCCAAACAGCATCAAGAAGGTTCTTGATTCTTCTACCCTTCGTAGGAGCCATGCCGCCCTTACGGATGGAATTGACAACATCGTCAAGATCGGCTCTACGCACGGCATCCCAATCAACAGTGCCTGCGTCACTTCTCCCCTTAACACCTTCTACTTCAGAACACTCAGGCACAAGGCCAAATCTATCGATGAGACCTGCGAATGCCTTTGAAGAATTACTGTTGTGTGTATTCGCTGAGAGGAGAGTGCGGATTACAGCATCCAAGACAGATGGAACCTCCCCGCATCCAGAGACGGAATTATCCGGCTTTGGCACTTTGTCTGGGCGAATTGCTGGCCCATGCGCTACTGTGAGGAGGGCAACTACCTCTTCGATGTCGTGGGGTGTCGGAAGTTTATGGTTAGGAAAAGGCGTTGTGCCCAAGGCATAAGCCAGTTTCCTATTTCTAGTCTTGGTCTCACCGTCAAGGTCGGACTGACCATTAATAAGACCGGGGGATTCGATATCTTCATCAGATCCTCCTTTCACGGCTTCATTCTCGATGGCTTCTCTTTTGATAACCGCCTCTATTCTTGGAGTATTCTCGTTGGGAAGGGAAACCTTCTCATCGTTCTCGGACTGAAGAAATTTGGGTGTCTGAGCCCACTCAATAGCCTCATTTTTAGGGTGGATAACCCTCTGTCTCTTAGCATTGGCCATATTGGAAACACTATTTTTGATCATGGGTTCCAAAACCTCAGCCTTTGCAGTTTTACCCCTCCCCTTACCAATTTTGACACAAGGGGTAGGGAGTGATTTAGAGGAAACCCTAGGACGAAGTTGCATAGACATTGTCGCAAGTTCCGACTACGATAAACCACTCACCGTTAATGCTGTTACGAAGGCAATATACGACAAAATACCCAAGTGAATTAGAAGGCACCAGAGACGAAAATAGATATCACAGAGAAAAAAATGAGAGTGGGGCGAGTAAAGAAGGGGCTATATCAACGGTCCTGAGCCGGAAAGTTTGGTCGAAGAGGGAGGGAGGAGAAGGGGGAGAATGATAAGAAAAGTAGGAAAACAGAAAAAGTTACCAAACAGGATTAAACAGGATTGATTAAAGACGGAAGAGGCATAACAAAGAGTATGATAGTATGCACAATCTCACAAGCAGTAAGGGGGGAGAGTATAGACTTACATTGAACTGTTTGGGCGAACTGGTAAATGGGTGAGGCAAGGTCGATTGGTGAGGGTATTGTCTACAAGGGAATCTGCGGCCGGTGGGTAAGGAGTTCAGGATAGAGCTCGTATTCACAACTGCAACTAGGAGCAGATGAAGTTGTTCAAGAAAGGGTGCTAGAGCCCAGAAGGTGGGAGCCGCGGGTGCAGAGGGAAAAAAAAAAGGGACCAAGAGAAGTGAGACCGTGTGCGGGTTTAAATAGGTAGGGAAGTAGTCGCCGCTGCAAACAAAGCAACAAGGAGGATTGCGTGGCAAAGGATGTGTCTAAAGAATGACTTGCGTGGATCTCATGAGGGAGACGTAAGTTCCCAATGATCACTACTGCTACTAGTTCAGATATCAAGAAGCAGTCTATGGAATCAACCCTACGAATATTTCCTGTATACTGACCAGGGCATACTATAAGAACAATTCGAGATTCAGGAGAGTACAGGAAACTATTTTATGGTGATTCAGTTTCAGCGTAAAGTATCGTTACTACAGCGGTATATGTTTCCAACAATCGGGACCAGTGGTACATAGCATTGCCACGGTATACGTCGATCCCATGAATGAGACCATCAGTAGCTTATTATGTCGAAAGAGAAAAAAAGTGTGAGAGAGAAAAAATCAATTGAAATCACTAGATTATCTCTTAACCTGAAGTATCATACGTCGGGTTTTTCAATCATGAAATACCACTCGAGTCACACTTTCACCCGGAGTGAGCAAGTATGAAGAAATCTGATAAGGATGATATTCACAACTCAACAAGGCATAATGCATGGATTTAAGGCTGTCTTGGATTGCATAACCACCGAGTAAGGTTTAGCAGGATGCAGGTAGCACTGCTCAGCTTCAGGAACATGGGATAAAACCATTTCGCTCGGATACTCTATTTTTTCCCGCCATTAAACCGGATTAAATGTGGAATACCCTAAGTAAGTATGATAAGTCCTTTGATTTCATCAATTGAGGGGAAAACCCTCACACTCTCTCATTCTTCAATCTCTATTCGTCCAAAATTCCTGATGCAGACAACTTCCAGCATGCACTCTGGGCTTGGCGAAACGGTCGCTGTCAATTTGGCAGTTCAGGGGATGCAACCTGCGTCGATGATAGGTTTATCCTGTACGTATGTAAGACAGCTGGACAACGAGCACCAACATTTGACCTCACACAACCCCCAAGCCCCAGCTCCTCCGCTAAACACCATCCTCTCCAACACTTTTTACCCTTTGGATCTCAGTAAATCACGAAACTTCAATATTACTTCTCACTCCTCATTTGCCTCTGCTGCTCTTGCGCCGGCCGGAAGCCATGCTCAACGCTTTCAATGCCTATTCAATCTTTGAGCTAGCTCCGAAAGAGCGTTTCAAGATCGAATCACTACTGGCTTACGGTTCGTCTCCCTCGCCTTCCTCGACCCCAATGGAGGAGAGGCCACAGCTAATGAAGGCTTTGCAGGTGACAAATTACTTTTAGGCCTCTCAAATGGTACTCTTCGGCATTACAAGGTTCTATCCCCGGATTCGGACCAGATCTCATTAGAGCTCTTACGCAATATCGACAAGTTCTCCCGACGATCGATAGAACTGCTCGCATGTATCAAAGAAGTGCAGATCCTAGTTTCCCTCAGCGACAACTATGTTCACATCCACGACCTGAACGAATTTACCCTTACCGAGACCCTGACAAAAACAAAGGGCGCTTCAACTTTTGCTGTCACGAGTAATATTGAACGGGACGAAAAGACACAGATTCCCAGCATTGTGAGTCGGTTAGCTATTGGTGTTAAGAAGCGGCTGTTATTGTACTCATGGCATGATGAGGAATTCTTGGAAGGGAAGGAGGTGGTTTTGAGCGGTGCTGTGAGGTCGCTTACTTGGGCTTCTGGGAGAAAGGTTGTCGCGGGACTTGCTGGTGGATTTGTTATAGTTGATGTGCGGACTGGAGTCATGAAGGAAATTTTTCCACCAGAAACAAAAGGTGGTGGAGCTTCTGGGCCTGCCAGCAGTGAAGTTGCTGGGTGGGGAGCTTATATGGGAATGGGGGGTTGGGGGTCTAGACCCTTGAGTACACATTTGGGTGGAGATGACCTCTTACTAGTGAAGGACTGTGAGTATACTGGTATCCTAAACCTATACTATTTCTCGCCTAACTGAGTTGATGGTTGCAAGCTACAACTTTATTTATTGATTCAGAGGGCGCAATCATCCCAAACAGGCGACCAGTGCCATGGCCAGCCTCTCCAGACGCTGTTGCCTTCTCATATCCGTACCTGGTATCCCTGAGCACCACTAAGCAACATCTAGAAGTTCGCAACCCATCTACGTATACCCTACTCCAAACTGTCCACCTGAACAACGTCTCAATACTCCATGTGCCCCCACCAAATGTATCACTCGTCCACGCTGGTAAACTGTTTTACATTGGTTCCTCAAGCCAAGTCTGGCGGATGACTGCAGCAGACTATGAGACACAGATCAAGCAGTTGATAGAAGGAGACCATCTCGACGAAGCAATAAGTCTTCTTGAAATCCTGGAGAGCGTACTCCTAGACAGTAAAGAAGAGCAGCTCCGAGAGGTGAAGATGCTGAAGGCAGAGCGGTTATTCGAAAAGAGAAAATACCGGGAAAGCATGGACCTATTCACTGAAGTATCTGCCCCCCCTGAAAGAGTAATAAGACTATTCCCGAAAGTTATCGCTGGCGATCTGTCCATATGTGATACTACTGCCAGCGATTCTGTCGACTCTGGCGAGGCGGTGGATGGTTCGGATGCTGGGAGTCGAGCCGGAACCCCCGAGTGCGAGGCTTGCTCAACAGGAGCTGAGCCCATCACGCCAAAGAAGTCGGGGACACCCCCTCCACTGAACGGGAAGCCGCCAACGCCAATACCAAAGAAGCTAAATGGAGCAAATCCCGAGACCTCTTCCATCCGGAACATATCCCTGACCAAAAAGGTCGGCGATGCAAGTTCCATATTCAACTTTGGAGGAGGGAAGAGCCACGTAGATGACGACACAGCAAGTATAGCCGTAAAACACACAGAAACTGTCTCAGATGGCCCGCCAGTGCTAGAAGGTCACGAGCTCGAGAAGGCTGCAGACCAACTCTCCGCACACCTAAACGACACCCGTCAAGCGCTATCAAAATACTTCCACCCGGACGGCACTCTCCGCGGCGACCCTGCAAACATAATATCCAACGCCTCCAGCACCTCTAGCACAAACCGCGATCCCTTCGAAGCCAGCTTTCTCGCCGCCGGCAAACCTCTAGATAAATCTTCGGAGGCCTATGCTGAGCGAACAAAAAAGCTCCTCACCGCCGCCCGCTTAATCGATACGACCCTCTTTAAGATCTACATCATCACACGACCCGGCCTGGTCGGTCCCTTTGTGCGCATCCAAAAACACGGTGACCCAGAAGTCTTCAGCGAGAAGCTCCGCGAACTCGGGAAATTTACGGAACTTATAGACTTTCTCTACCAGCGAGAGCTACATCGCGAAGCGCTAGATCTTCTCCTGCAATTCGGCAAGAGCCCAGAAGATGAGCGTGCTCCTTCACTCTGCGGACCTCGTAGGACAATCGCATACTTGCAGAGTTTGAAAGCGAATTACATAGACCTCATCCTCGAGTTCTCTCAATGGCCCCTGGAAGTAGACCCTAGTTTTGGCATGGAGATATTCACAGCCGACAGCGAGAACGCCGAATCCCTACCTCGCTCAAAGGTCGTCGAGCACTTACAATCCCGCTCCACTAGTTTTGCAATCCAGTATCTCGAACACGTGATACACGAATTGGGTGACCAGACGCCCGAGTTCCACACCCGGTTGATTTGGCTCTACTTGAGCACGCTGAAGCAGATGCCCAATTCTGCGCATCACAGCGAGAAGTTGCTTGCGTTTTTGACAGCGAGTAAACAGTACCGTAGTGAGAAAGTCCTGGGCTGGCTGCCCAGAGAGGACCCGGCGTTCTACGAAGCGAGGGCAATTGTCCTTAGGAATATGGGCCAGCACAAAGCTGCGTTGGAGATTTATGTTTTTAAGCTACACGATCATGTCAAAGCTGAAGAGTACCCCCCGTCCCTCCTCTCCCCTCTTCACTGCAAGGGCTAACGAGGGACAGATACTGCAAACGAATCCACCTAACATCCCCAACCACCCCAACAATCTATCACACTCTCCTAACACTCTACCTCCGCCCCCCGCCTCCGCACACCCCTCACCTAGCACCAGCATTAACCCTACTCTCACGCCACGGCGCCCGTCTCGAAGCTTCAGAAACCTTAGCTCTCATCCCAGAGGGGACAACGATGGCCTCACTAGAATCATACTTCCAATCACGCATTCGAACCGCAAATTCTAAAGCTAGCACTGACCGATTAACCGCAATGCTGAGAAAGAGTTACCTAGTAGACGTGCAAGACCGCCTACTGAAGGAGCAAGGAGTTGCGGTAGTGGTAGGCGAGGAGAGGAGCTGTGGTGTTTGTCATAAGAGGTTGGGTGCGAGCGTTCTTTGGAGATTGGCTAGGTGAGCTTTTCTTGTTCTCTTCCCTACCCCGAAGTGTGGCTGATGGTAGTAGTGGAGCGGTCGTGCATTATGGCTGTGCGCAGAAAGTTGGGTAGGCATACACTCATTCACATTGCAGCAGGGAAGGTGATAGAAATGGCCCTGGTATAGTAAGGTAGGATGACGCGGCGGCTCTTTATAATTTGCATGGTTGGAGTTTTTCTTTTCCCTCTCTTTTCTACCTATTTAACCCCCATCCTCTGCTTTCTCTTTTCCGCTTGGGCGCTCTATTGTTCAGCAGGATAATTATACATATTGTAGGAATCTTTAGGGTACAGCACACTTTACATTACTCACTTCTGGTTTCCTTTGTTAAAATTGGCTATACCAGAAGTAGTCCTGGCTAGTTTTTTGGGCAGGATAAACAACAAGTTGATTGATCAATTAACGGATGAATGAACGAACGAATATAAAAGTGAATGAGAATCATATATACTCGTACAGTACCTGATAGCAATTAAAACTACCTCATGCACCATAACACCAGTCAGTATTCATCCTGAGCCAAAACATGACAGCCCGGTGACTACTCGTACATACCGAGCGCACCCAGCGCCGAATACCCGAATACCCACCCACTCACTCTTGTACGAGCACCGTACTCGTGCCTCAAGAATTGGCACCTCTTTTGGAATGGCGGCCGACCCGTAAAAAGTATAGGGCTCGAGCTGGTTGAAAGACTGTGCCAGTGGCGCAAGATAATGGTATCCCATCACACGTTTCTACAACGACCCTTACAATGGATTGGACGCTTTTCCTTCTTGCCACCAAATCCACCCAATAAAGAGATTGAACCATATAGGGACATTAAGGACTCAATGGCCCAACATAGCTTTATTGGTAATGGTGAGGAAACGTGGTAGCATACAATTCCATTTGGTTTAATGGCCGAAAGATTGTGCGATCAATGCTGGCGATGTCTATTTTTCTACAGCGTGGCAGTGTAAATTTATGCGCTCCCTTAGATAGTAGCGGCTTCAACACAATACTTTTTATTGGTCCATGGGGGGCTATTCCGACAGAGGTGCCAATTCTTAGCTCGGAGGTACGAGTAAAATAGGATAATACCGCCCCAAGGCCAACTGCTGTGCTCGCAGAATATGAACAGTACAATACGAGTAGCTTGTCAAGCAATTTTTTATTCTTCCTCCCTCCCACTACCATACACCACTTGAGCACCACCGGGACAGGGTTATTTCGATGGGTGAAGCAGGAGCGATACCATCTCATCTCGTTTTCTTCTTCTCCACCTCCACCACCCCGTGCCTACCATGGTTTTCTATCAGCCCGATCACTCTGGCCTCCCGCACCACGTGTGCCCATAACATTGCAAACAATCTCTTAATCCGAGTGACGTCCCGTGACGTGTATCCCTATGGGATGACTGTTGTCTTAGCGCGACAATCTCATGGTGGTCCTCCCCGCTTGTGTAGTGTGTGCGGTTTAATGCGTCAAGGTGCTGAACGAGTACCGTACTCAAGTATAATAGGGAAATCTGCGGGCATCCTAACTTATTAGAGCTCGAATTTCGATACCCGGGACAAGCTTTTGTGCAAATATTCGAGCTAGGAACAGGATCATGGATCATCACTCCGGCAACCGGCCGCAACCCAAGGCTGTTGGAAATCATGACAACGAAGAGAGGGGAGTGGCGAAAAATTCACCAAAAACCTAGTGGCAAATAATATCAAATTTGACAGAACTCTCCGCTGTGCACCTCCCGTTTATCGTCTCCTCTATTCTACTGGGGTACAGTATTTTACTCCCAGAGCCTGGGGCAACAGCATCTTGCCCCTTCACGATGCTACAATTTCATAGACTACCGATACCATAGTATATCACTCTAATCTCTATCGAGAAAAGTATAGGGAACAGGCTAGTAGCACAAACAGGTAACAGGAGAAACTTTTTATTACACGTGAATAAACAAGGTGAAAGGAAACCCAAAAAAGCAACAATTTAACACGGAGAAAGACACAGCAATCTCAAAGGAAGGCACAAGCCTGAGGAATAGTCTCCCAGAAAACAAAATTAAAAAGACGTCGCCCGGGACATTTTCTTTTTTTCTTTTTCTTCATAAGAAGCCACTAGGAAGGGAATAAAAAGCAAATGGCAAATTTATATAAATCTCCATCGCTTCGCGAGGAAGAAGGACACGGTGACGAACAGAAAGATGCTTGCCAGGATTCCAAAAAACCAGTAAAGGTGTGGGTCGTGTTGGCCTGGAATTGTTACATTCATGCCAAAGAGACCGCAAATTAGGTTGAGCGGGACGAGAATTGTCGCGATGGTTGTAATCTTCCCGAGGGCCTCGTTGGCACGATTATTGGTTTGGATAGAGTCTACCGAGAGCTGCGCGAGGTAGTTGGCGTGCGAGCGGGAAAGCATTTTCTCAAAGTGAGATAAGCTGCCCATCATCGTGACGACGTGATCTAAAAGGAGTCACGCATTAGGGAACCTAGTTTCAAGCTAGTAATATAGGACGAACAAACCTTGAATATCACCGAGATACAATCCAATTTCACCACGAGGAGTGACTTGGTATTGCTCGTTGCATCTCTTTGCAAATCCCTTAATAACATCGGCTTTGCCGCCCAACAGTCTCATCAAGGTCATGCACTTCTTCCGACATTCGCCAATCTGCCGCAACATGGGAGTGTAATCATCCGTGCGTGCGACAAAAACGCCATCTTCAATAGCATCAGATTCCTTCTCGATGTCATGAATCACGGGACCGAAAGAATCAGTGATGTCATCGCTATAGTTTATCCAAGTCAGCGCCGATCTCTCAACACCACCACAAGCACCATAAAACTTACATCAGCGCATAGCAAATCCAATCTGATGAGAGAGCAACGTAATCACGGAGCTGCCTAATCCGCTTCCTAACGTTGGCACTGTGCGGGCAAGGTGCGAAGTGGAAACTCAATACTCCCTCGCGAAAGACGATAATATAGACGTTTACAGGCTCCATAAAGTCTGAGGAGTTCTTATTTTGTACAAAAGAGCGAAAGCACACAAAATAGTAAGACCTGAAAAGTTCAACTTTCTCGCGGGTTTCCTGAACTCGAATATCCTCAGCGGTCAAAGGGTGGATTGCAAAAGCCTTCATGAGCATAGCCAATTCTTCAGTGGTAGGATTGTAACAGTCCAACCACCAGACACCTTGGCCACCACGGAAGAGCTCGTGGAAATTCTCGCCATCGCATAGGAGGTCGCCAATCTCGGGAGCGTGAATCGTAGCGTCACCCTCGGATGAGAAGAAGCTGAATCGATCAGGATTGCTTATACGCCTAGGGCGGGGAGTGGTAGGCGTGTTACAAAACTCGGCTTTCTCATCATTGATAGATGACGTGGAGGGGATGGGAGTCTCTTTCCCGACAACACCGGGAGTGGCAGACGAATCCTCCTTGTTCTTGATTTGGTCGAAGTACCGAGACCCAATCACAGCCCCGCAAGTGCTCATTTTCCTTCTCCTCTCACAAGGACCCGCGCGAGATTGATTGGCCACAAACTCATCCATCTCCTCAAAATCAATTCCACCTCGAATTTTGTTCTCCTCAGGAGGCGGGAAGCAAACATCCTCCTCCGCATTAGGCAGAGCCTCATCACCAGAGCCATTTCCAGCAGCCTCATCCTCAGTAAAGGTCGGACGCCGTGACATAGTCCTGCGGAGGCCTAAGGCAAGATCCGCAGGAGCTTGAGAGCTGATCGTGGCGGAACGGTCGACGCGGCGCCTGTGCTCAGGATTCGCAAACGCATCGACAGAGTTCGGCGGCGATGGCGATCTGGTGGAAGGGGCCCGAGAAGAAGAGCGGGATGGGTAGCGTGCACTGTATTGACGACCACCACAGTCATCCGGAGAAAGGGCAGGCCTATTATCGCGTGTGTCGTCATCCAACACAGCCTGCTCGTAGTCCCTGTGAATTGGGCCATGAGCGTCCTCGATGATGAGAGATATGTCCGGACGGGCACGAGCATCCGACGATGTAGTTCCAGAGCGAGGAAGAGAATGCGCCTGGAACCTATGGTCGTCCAGCTCGGCAGCAGGGGCAGGAGTAAAGTGAGGCGACTCGGATCGTGGGGTGTCCATAGCTACTGCCTTCCTCCGGGGGCGAGTTCAATAAGATAGTAGAAATCCAGCGTAAATTATTGAATGAAAAAAATGAATATCGCGGTTGTAAATCAAATTATACACGATGAATCGTTTGCAAATGAGACCGAAGAGAAGAGAAAGCCGTAATAATAATAATAAAAATCTAGACCGCAAAAACGCATCAGTCATTGTTGATACTGCTTCATGGACGTCTAGATTTGCTCACAAACAAATTCCCAGAATCCGAGAATTCCAGCACCTAGGGCGAGCCGCGAGGTGCGCTCACCACGCTAGTTGCAATCAATTTGACAGCTTTGAGGGTTTGGAATCACCCTCAACAAGAGCTGAGGAAGGTAAGAGAAGGGGCCGAAAAGTTTACCCAGCTGTAAGACCGAGGGATGTTTGATGGTGGTATGGACAGTGGCTATAAGCAGTGGTCCTTCTTCTGATTGACCAACCAGAGGGCCAGTTATGGAGGTTTCTTGGAAGCTCCGAGGACCCAAGATAGTGGACCGAGGAGAGGGAGAGCGAAGGAGAACTTTGGAGAAATGGATCCCGCCAACTTGGTGGTTTGTGGGTTGAAAGGCCGCGGAGGCACTGGAGTTCCACGAACGATGAAATCAACAGAGAACCCGAACAAGAATTGCTCTACTGAACTTGACAAAGGTGACTCGAGATTCCGGGGGAAGGATGAGGTGGAGAGTGGTTGCTGTGTGGATAGTTTTAAGGTGATTGAGACAAGGGACGATGTGTTCGAAGATGGTAAGAAGTTCCTTTGTGCGGGGTCTGAAAATAGGTTTGACCCTCGAAAGTGGCTAGATAGTCAATGCGAAGGAGAACCCATGAAGCGATTCGGGTGCGAAATTAGATCCTTTTTGAGATGAAGAGGTCAGAGCAGAGTGAGAAACAGAGCTGGCAGAAAGGCAAACTAGGTGGAGGAGTTTGTGACGAGTTTTAGGTATAACTTTGGGTATGATAGTGGTAGCGGTGGTGGTGGCGGTGGGTATTTGAGGAGTTGTTTGGGAAAGGGAGAAAGGGCGAGAGAGAGGGATGGGGTTGGTTCATGTGGTGTGTGTGCGGGACCAACGAAAAAAAAGATGCGAAAAAAACGCAGAACTTTGCTGCTGTGTGGCGCCTAACTGCCGGTACCAAGTGTGCCCAAAGAGGTAGTTCATGCCAAAGGCATGTTAAAAGATAGTTGAGGATTGGTTATCATCCCCGGCGCCCAATATATCCATGCTCCCCCAAGCACTGCGCATTCCCGTGTGTGCGTTGAGGTTAATAAGAGCATCTCAAATCGCCCACATTTCCTAATCCTGAACTCACGGCAGTCAACACTCTGCACTCTAGCTCGAGCAGTACCGTAAGTTAACCCAAAATCTCATCTCGTTTATTCCTACCGCAACCCTCCGGCACCAGGAGGAACACATAGTATCATACCTACATATGATACCGGTATTGCAGTGCACCCAAAACAATTACTCTAGACCCTTTCCCTACATCGCGGTGCTTGTCGGGCTAGGCACAGACATCCACATCCTAGTCCACATCGCACCACCACCGACCGACCGACTACAAGTATTACAGCTCCCATTTTCTGGCCCCTTCGGTTTCCTCTCTTGCCCAGGAAAATCACACAGTGCCAATTTCTATGATATGTGAAATCAGGACCTAAACGCTTAAACCGCAGTTCCTCTCAGTGTCCCGCTAGGAACGTAGCCTCACACATCCAAAATCCGGGTTACCCTACCAGTCCTAGTCCGGGAATCGGAAAAAATAAAAATGGTTTAACCACTGTGTGTGTGAAGAATATGATGCTCCGCTGAAGAGTGTAACCCCCTCCACTACCAACACCACCACCATTGCTGCTACTATTGATTCTCTACTTGGAAGATATGCCACCGCCGGTAAGGTTGCCAGAGAAAAAGGGGGAGCGCCCAGTTCATACAAAGAGTGCTGCGAGAAAACTAAAGCGAAAGAGGAATGCTGAAGAATTTCAATTGCTAGAGACTCGTGTACGGGAATTCGTATGCGTTCCCACACAACGTCTTTTTCCCGATTGCTGGATAGTGGCTAATTATAGGATTAGGTTGACAAAGACGTCACCAGTTTCTCAAAATTACCCTTAACGAAGCAGACGTCGACGGGATTACATAAAGCGCATTTCAAGACGTTGACCGACATCCAACGGAAGGCTATCCCATTGGCATTGAAAGGTCGGGATGTCCTCGGTGCTGCAAAGACAGGAAGTGGGAAAACACTGGCATTTTTGGTTCCTGTAAGAAAGCTCCTGCCTTTCTGGTATGTAGTCAGGCCTCTGATAAAAGCAGGTTTTGGAAATTCTGTATCGGAAGAAATGGACAACTATGGATGGTTTAGGCGCACTCATAATCTCACCTACCCGCGAGCTTGCAACGCAAATATTTGATGTTCTACGAAAGATCGGAAGAGAGCACGCATTCTCCGCTGGGCTGGTCATCGGCGGAAAGAAATTGAAGGATGAACAGGAAGCACTGCATAGGATGAATATTGTCGTCTGCACACCTGGGCGAATGTTACAACACATGGACCAGACAGTCGGACTTGTGCTGGAAAATGTTCAAATGTTGGTTTTGGATGAAGCCGACAGGATTCTGGACATGGGCTTTCGAAAGACTTTAGACGCCATCATCGAGAATCTGCCGAAAGAGAGACAAACATTGCTATTCAGCGCCACACAAACGAAAAGTGTTTCGGATCTCGCGAGGCTAGGATTGAAGGATGCGGAATACGTTGCTGTCCATGAAACGGCTACTTCAGCTACTCCGGCTGGTTTGGACCAGTTCTACATGATCATTCCTTTGCCGGAGAAGCTGAATACCTTGTTCGCCTTTCTCCGGAATCATTTGCAGTCGAAAATGGTGGTCTTCATGAGCTCCTGTAAACAAGTCCGTTTCGTGTATGAGACTTTTAGGCAACTGCATATTGGTATTCCGCTGCTTCATCTCCACGGAAAGCAAAAACAAAGCGCCAGGATAGACATAACAGCAAAATTTTCTGCCGCGAAGCAGAGTTGCTTATTATCGACCGACGTAGTTGCAAGGGGCTTGGATTTTCCAGCGGTGGATTGGGTTATTCAGCTAGATGCACCGGAGGACGCTGATACCTATATCCATCGTGTTGGTCGAACTGCTAGATTTGAAAAGACTGGAAAGGCACTGCTATTCCTGTGTCCGAGCGAAGAGAAGTTTGCAGACTGGTTGGCCACTAAGAAGGTTCTGATTAACAGGGTTGGCCAGAAAAACTCTAAAAAGCAGAGTATTCAAAACCAACTCCAAGGGCTGCTGTTCAAAGATCCTGAACTCAAATATTTGGGACAAAAGGCTTTTGTGAGTTACTGCCGAAGCGTCAGTGTTCAGAAGGATAGAGAGATATTCAAGCTTGAGGAGTTGCCATTAGACGAGTATGCGACTAGTATCGGGCTCCTTGGCGCCCCAAGGATTAAGGGCCTAAAGAGTGTAGATGCAGCTAAGATCAAGGAAATAAAAAATGCACCTAGAGGTCTAAAGGCTCTAGAGGGTGCCTCTAGCGATGAGGAAAGGGAAGGAGAAAACAAGAACAAAAAGGAAGTGCGAACTAAATATGACCGAATGGTCGAACGAAGTAATTACTACCCTACTCTTTTGCGCATCGTAAGCACTAACATCTTTAGAAAACATCAATGTCCATTATGCGAACTTGGTTCAAGATGATGGAGCGGAAACCGACGACGAAGCTGACTTCTTGACCGTCAAACGTTCGGGCTATGACTCCGACATCCCCGATCCCGCAGGAATGCGATCGAAAACACTCAAGGTGCCAGGGAAGGAAATAATAATAAACTCCAAACGCAAGGAAAAAATGCTCAAGTCTAAAAAGGAGTTGGTGAAGCTCAAACCCAAGGGCACAAAACTTGTTTTCGACGATGGCGGAGAAGCGCATCAATTACACGAGCTTCAAGGTGAGGATAAGTTCCGTGAAGCAGGACCGGCAGAGATCCAGAGAAGAAAGTTCCTGGATGAAGAAGGGAAGAAGGTCAAAGAGGCGGACATCGGAGATAGAAAATTGGCAAAAGAGAGGAGGAAGGAAAAGAGGAGGATTCAGAAACTCCGTGCTGCAGAGGAAGTAGTAATGGAGGAAAGAAGCGACGAGGATGAGTTTCGGGTTGAGTTGGCTTCTTACGGGGAGGTAGTGGGCGATCAACTCGGCCAAGATGAGGATGTCGAAGACGAGAGACAATCTAAGAGACAGAGAAAATGGTTTGAGGATGACGAAGAAAAGGAGAAGACCGAAAAGAAAGCCGGGAAGACCAGAGGGCAAGTTATCGAAGCTGCTGAAGCTCCAGAAAACTTGGAGGATTTGGAAATGCTTGCTAGCGGACTCATTGGATAACTTAGATACCTGCAAATATCGTACTTGTAGTTCTAAATGTTTAATCTCGCGAAATTCAAAAATACGCCACTTTCAAAGAAATAAACTCTGATCCCAAACCCCAGAGAGAAAGCAAAAATGGTACGGTATTATAAAGAATTTCGAGCTTCCATGATTCCGCGAAAAATTATCTGCTAGCCAGCACCATACAGCTTGATCATTGACTACTATAAAACACCGGCTGCCGGTAACACCCCACTAGCCCGATTTAGCAATCTTGCACAACCTTAAAACTTCAATCGACCCCCGCTGCCGAAAAAAAAAATTCAACAATGCCGCCAAAAACAAGTACAACACGACTACCAAAGTCGGTCCTCGAGGAACTGGGTCTAGGTAAGCCTTCTCAAGTATTCTCTACCGCCGGGATAAACGCTAACAAGGATTTAAATTAAGGCGGCGATAACCTTAAGTCCAGCAGCACCAAATCCAGTACATCAACCGGTGGCAGAAGCGCTAGGAGCTCACGAAATGGAAAACCTCTGGGCAGAAAAGAACAACGACGGCAGGAACGCATAGTGAAGGAATCTCAGCATCAGCAGCGACGGGTGAGTCGTGCTTCGGGCCCCCCGGTTTCACCATCGCCCTCTCCCCCACCTCCAGCGCCGATTATCCGGGGGAAACCAAGGGAACCAGAAGCCAAAGAGAAGAACGAAAGGAAAGGAAAACACCCGGGACCGGTACTTAAGTCCATCCTCAAGAAACCGAAGCCAGTGAGGGCCAAAGATGAAGAAGGGGAAGAGGTGTGGGAGCCAAAACCTGTGCTTCGGAGGGCCGTGAGGGAGAAGCTTGAGCAGGATGATATGGAGATTGAGTATTTGGAAAATAAATTGAAGATTAAGGGGAAATTGCCAAAAGCCTTTCAAGAGGATGGACTGGACTTTTTGTTCGAAGGATTGGATGAGATCGATCGGGATGAGGCAGTACAGCCTAGGCCAAACGAGAGGATGAGGGAACGTAAACCGGGATCACACAAGGGGGCGCATCAACGGAAGGAAGGGGAGGGAGGGGGGGATGACAGCGACGGAGAAGATGAGGAATTAAATGACGAGGGTGAAGATGTAAAAGGCATGGATGAGGATATGAGTGACATAGAGGGTGAGGACGAAGGCGATGAGGAGGAAGATGAATTCATGGGAATCGGCCCGGATATAGAAGATGATCAGGAAGCAGGGGATAATGCCTCTCCGAGGAAAAGCGTTTCCGCAACTCCCGGCGCACCGAAATACATTCCACCGTCACTTCGAAAAACTCAAGCCACTGAGCCCGAGAAGCTCGCCCGCCTCCGGCGGAAGTGCCACGGTCTCCTCAATCGTCTTTCGGAAGCCAATCTCACCCCAATTCTTTCGGAAGTGGAAGGACTCTATACTACTAATCCCCGGGGCGACGTCACATCCACACTCTCCAGCCTCCTAATAACCATTGCTGGTGATCAGTCGGCTCTGTCAGATACCTTCATGATACTACATGCTGGCTTTGTCGCTGGGATATATAAAATCATGGGAATGGACTTTGGAGCTCACATCGTACAAGCTGTCATTGAGGATTTTGACGGATACTACCGCAAAGTGAACCGAATCGATGACCCAGCGAGTGCCGGCAAGAAATGCACAAATTTAATCAGTTTCATTTCAGAGCTCTACAATTTCCAGGTCGTGGGAGCTGTGCTCATTTTCGATCTTTTGAGGATATTTCTGGAAGAGATAACTGAATTGAACACAGAGTTACTCTTGAAAGTTGCGAGGAGTATGATACTCACCTGGTTCCTGAGTTCAGTTCACTAAGCTAATTCGGTCAGATTGTGGCTACCAATTACGACAAGACGACCCGACCTCCTTAAAGGATCTTGTTATCATGATGCAGCCCGCTATTGCTAAGATTGGCTATGAAAACCTTAGCATCAGAACGAAATTTATGATCGAAACGTTGACAAATCTTAAGAACAACCGTTTGAAAGCGGCAGCCGCTAACTCAGTTGTAGTTGCGGAAGCAACAATTCGCATGAAGAGACTTCTGGGGGCTCTGAACAACGGCCGAATACGGGCAAGCGAGCCTCTGCGTATCTCTCTGAAGGACATCAGGAACACTGATGCAAAGGGGAAATGGTGGCTTGTCGGCGCATCATGGGCAGGGAACCCAGCATCCACATCGACATCCACAGCTTCTGGACTGCCCAGTAAAGCCCCCAAGAAGTCTAAGAAAGATCCGGAAGACCTCGACTTTTACTCGAACACAGACCTCTTGCAATTAGCCCGAGAGCAACGAATGAACACAGACATCCGACAGGCAATCTTCGTAGCCATCATGTCTGCGGAAGACTATACGGACGCATACCTCCGTATTCTAAAACTCCGACTAAAGCGCAAGCAAGAGCCTGAGATACCCCGTGTTCTCATCCATTGCTGCGGTTCAGAAGCTTCATACAATCCCTACTATACACTCGTTGCCCGAAAGCTCTGTGCGCAGAATAACCTGCGTATGGCCTTCACATTCAGTCTTTGGGGGGTATTCCGTCGTATGGGCGAGGGCGAGGGGGGAGGGGAGGCGGATCTCTTTGGCGAAGATGGCGAGAACGATGAAGACTTAGACATGCGGAAGATCCTCAATCTTTCCAGGATGTACGGGACCTTGGTCGCCCAGGATGCTCTAGGATTAGACATACTCAAGATTCTTAACATAGCATACTTGCAGAGCAAGACTAAGACTTTCCTGGAGCTGATGTTCATCACGGTCATTCTGCAAACGCTTGGCCAGGAGGATGGCGTGGAGGAGAGTCTTAAAAGGGTGTTCATCAAGATAAAGGAGAACCCGGGGTTAGTTCGTGGTGTGCTTTTCTTCTTGAAGAAGCATGTTAAGGGAACTGATGTCGTGACCGATAAAGCTGAGGCGGCGGTCGTAGCTCGGGGTGTGCGTTTCTCGTCGCAGCTTTTGGGGTCTTTCATTGCGAAGGAGACTCTGGGGGGATGATATGTACGATAGATTGATCGCTAACGGTGTCCGAATGTTGAGTATGAATATGATACACACATGATATTATGCGGTTGAAAGCTGTATCTAAAGCACCATAAACCTTTCCATTCCTGCAAACCCCCGATTCGTTATCCAGCGTACAATTTATTCGCCAGGAGACAAACATCATCATGGTGGAATAGTGAGCCCCCTAGCGGCCCCAAACTCAGGATCTGCTTAGATCCGTGTATTCTCACTCGAATTAACCTTCGTAATGGGCATGATTCAGGATGATATCTTTACTTCATAGCGGCACGCCGACTGTACGAGTAATGCCTCCCCCCCTTAAACAAGCCCTACAAAAACTCTTTGGGAGAAACAATTCCCCGAAAGCTTGGTGTTCTGGGCCTTTTTTCCCAGCTTTCATCAACTGATATGTACTCCAATCTAATGAAGCATCGCTTATGTTAATACATTCAAAGTTCGTTCCAACATCTGCATATGAGGTTAGGGTGTGGGGTAGCTTGCCACAACCGTAGACCAACCAAATTCTATGCATAATTTACTCGTACGGTATTGTGGTTTGTGGACATCGCTTACGTTAAACATATTTAACACCTTTTCTCTACCACACATAACTTACTCGTACCTCCCCCAACTCAAGTCTTCCCTCCTCTTCGCTCGCTTCCTGCCACTTATCTATCTAACCACCTTCCTACCGACACCCCACGGGCGAAAAAAAAAAAACCAGCCACAGAACTTTCTTCAAGTTGCATCAGGTTTTGATCACTTCTCTCTTATAATGCCTGCTGCGGCAGACAAATCGGCGAAGCCGACTGTCGAGGTTATAAAGCAGGGAATGTACAACATAGTCATCGGGGACTCCCTTAAGCGAGAGAATGGTCACGGAGATGGAGCTCTCTTCGCGAGTGTCAAATGTTTGTTAACCTAGCCGCCCACTTTACCCCACCTACTTTGCCGGTTACTCCTTGTGAAGAAGTGATTGGGTGGAAGTCGGATTTGAAATTGACTTGATCTGTGGTATAGATAATTTTAAGCCGCCGTCTTCACTAGTTAACAGCGTCCCACCTCGTCTCACTAAGAGTGAGGCTGGCGGTGAGGCACCCTACACTTTAACGCTCACACCCCCGAGCCAACCCTCTCCTAATCATATCGTCTACGAGGGTGCTCAGCATATCCCTAAGAAGACTGAATGCATCCTCCTGTTCGATCCTGCGAAGCAAACATTCACTTTGGAAAAGTTGTCTTCGGCTTTCACCTTTAACGCAAAGGTTTTTGCAAACGCTCACCCCCCACTTCCTCTACGGCCGCCTGTCATAGACGGGGATGATGATGAGATTTCCCTGGAAGAGAAGGAGGACGACAACCCGTTTGATTACAGACATTTCCTTAACAAGAAGGCTACAACCAAGAGCCGAGCGGAGCAACGAGCAGAGAAGGAGCAGAGGAGAAAGAAAGCTTTGATCGCTGTTGGGGCTTTGTCGGAGAATCCCGACGACTCGGAGGGAGAGAAGGGTGGCAAAGATGAGGAAGAGAGTGGGTTAGGGCTAGGTATTACATACGATGGGCGCCCGCCTATCAGCAGCAGGACTGGGAAATCCTATATCTCAAACAGGAAAGTCGGCGGGAAGAGCCCCGCTATTAGCGGGAGGAAGAGCCTACCGACGGGACGCCGCGGCGTGGCGGCCCCAAGCCCTAGCTCTGAAGAGAGCGAGGCGGACAACGAGGATAACGACGAGGATGATGATGAGCACTATCGCGCCCCACCTCGTCATGAATCTCCACCTCACAAGCCACCCAAGAATACCCGACCTATCGACGACGACGATATGAAGATGGTATTTGAATTTCCAGACATGGAACCCGAGGAAGAGTCGGACACCGACGAGAATTCGGACGACGAGCCGAACTCTCCTAGAGCTCCTCAGCAGACCGTTCCTGTGGTCGCCCCTGGGCAAGATGAAGAAGGCGAGGAAGAGGAAGACGACGATGCCTCCAACCTTGCTGAGGAACTCGAACAAGCCCTGGAGAGTGAAGAGGACCCCGGCCCCGCTGTCCAAGGAGGTGATTCAGAGATTATCTTCGAAGACGACGACGCGACCAGCAGACCAAGACTAGGACTCGTCCATAAATCTGCGGTCCCCACGAGTCTCTCGGGAATGGTTGGTGGGGGGGTGCTTGATGAAAGCGAGTCCAGTGAGGAGGAATGAAGAATGAAGGGAGTGGGTTTATATTGAAAGCATTAGATTTGGAGTCCGTGTTGTTTTCCCGTTTCACGGGTTGGTTTTTTTCTTTCTTCTACTGGTATCCTTTCTTTCCCTTTTTCATTTTTTTACTTTCTACCTACCCCTTCTTGGAAGAAGCGAGGCAGTACCATGATGGTAAACGAGTTATTATACGGGACGTCTGTATGTCCGTATGTATGTATGTATGTATGTATCTTAGCGAAATGAGAAGCTTTGCTACGGGCAGGGGGGTACGATAGTCGTGAATCCGAACTATGCCTATCTTGAGGCGAGTTAGTCTACGTGTGGCAACGGGGCCAGGATAGCAAAGACTCGCTGAGTACAATACAAACACAGTACGATGCACAAGACTTGGTGTTGGTCGCAAATATTTCTGTTAACCCCCCCATTGGGTCTTTTTGGAGACAGAAAAACAGGAACCTTTGATCCGGGGACTGTGCTTGTGTCGTGCCAGGGACATGTCCTTCTCCTTTTTAACCTGATGCAGGGGGAGTACCGGTATAGTGCCGCACCCATACAACTACAATATTGTGCCTGCAGGCTAGGTCAGTGTGTCTAGGTTGCTTAGAAGTTCCAGTAGCACCGCAGCACACCGGTACAAGTATCATATGCTGTGACGGGTAGGTAGCGGCAACTCTCCGCCGGTAGGAGGGCAGGTGGGGGGTTGTCTCGTCCAGTAGGAGGTGGTTTGCTGCACATATGATAGTACAAGTACGGGGCAGGTAGCCAGGCAAGTAGACTATGTGGGCAAGCGATAGGGCAAGCGATAGGGCAAAATAGCTTGGAAGTGCCGGTATGTTACTACCATACTGGGAGGTGTTTGGTACAGTATAGTAGGTGGCGGATTAGGGTGTGTACCGGTGTCATGATAGGATGACCTACCCCCGCGGTCTGTTTACCGCATAAGGGGGAAAGAGTGGAACTTCGAAGCTTCGTCCCTAGGATCCTGAAAATTCGGATACTTGTAATGCATGACCATTCCAAATATCCCCGTATCGTAGCTCTTCAGGCTCTCACGTATCGACATAAACGCACGGAACTCCAACCCCATTAGATTAGATCCTCCTGCTCAAAATCTCCAAAGCCGTTGGCAATTGATCATTGGTTGTCACTCGATATCTTCTCCTACTGCACAGCACACGAGCACTGGACAGTACTTGTTAGGGGGGGGGGACTGGAATCTGCATTATCTGTGTGTCCTGGCGAGTCTGAACTGCATACTGTGGTGTACCCACCTGGACCAAAAACCTCCATGGCCTAGATGAGGGAACGCTGGTACAGTGCATGCCCCCTCCCACACACTCTCTCCCTTGTATCTGGTTGGTTGGCTGGCTTACTCACAAATTTAATATCGAAGTCTTCTTCCCCGGAAGGAAGTTTTGCCCACTCGCCAACCCGCCCGCTCCCCGGGTTCGGAGAGGCATGGCGCCCACATTGGAGGAAGTATATTAATCCCGATTAACTTATTTGGTCTGGTCTGGGCCGCTGGGGGCGGGTGGTGATTGTAACTAGGGTGAGGGGGTTGTGGGGAGATTATCATGGCCTATAGAAACATCATGCGGGGGACTGGCAGAGTGGAGTGCCAAGAGAGGGTATAAGGATATGTTGTACACTAGAGTAAGCATGGTAGGATTGTATCGGAATTCTCTTCCTTTTTTCTCTTTCTTACTTCTAGCCTGGTTTGGTTTATTGTGGTTATTAAGGTGGTCACTCCACAGCTGTAGATTTTCTTTCTAAAGCACGAAAGCTTCTTTTTTTATGTATACTGGTATGATATTGTCACCGTGATAATATCATCATAGCTTTTATTGTGCTGCGAGCTAAGGTATGCCATTGAGAGGTAAATTTAACCCTGGCTTGGAAAAGCCTATGGTGCCTCCAGGGATAGTAGGAGTGCAGGAACCTAACTTGGCTGTTTCTGGGTGATCCTATGGACTATCATAGGTCTTCTTTTACGATACGGCGTACAAGTACGAGTGGTAGAGCTCTGCACAGGTGGGTGGGTAGTACCATACCTGTATGTAAATATATCACATAATAACTCAGGATACAGTTAAGGCAGTCCAGCTAGTTGCTTGCACGCATGCACAATACTCGAGTACTGTACGGTGGGCGTGATGGGTGCTCCAGTATCGTGTTATTCGTATCGTTGTTACGACGCTTGTCGTCCTGCCCTTGGACGATGAAAATTTTAGGTCCCTAATATAATTACGATACTGTAATTAATTCCCGGCCAATTGACACTGTGGATAAGCTATCGTAGTCAGGTTGTGGATAGCGAGGCTTGGAAAGCAAGAGACAACCTGGTGTAAAACTGGAGGCCAGTATAATACAGCACTTGTAGCACATATCATGCGTGGTCTTACTTATAACAGTATAATATAGGAATGTATGTTAGCGTCATGTCATCCTGATATAATATTGTGTATGACATTAGGACTTGCGAGGTTTTGATCGTCTCTTTTTTATATATATAGTTTGGCTATTGGCTATCAACCATCACTAGATTTGGTTTGTGCACGGCTCAAGTTTGGTTCGGAGGGGGGGGGTTCTTGGACAGACTGTTTGAATAGGGATGGATTTCGATACGGTAGCATACCGGTGCCGGGATGGTGTAATGTCTGGTGTGGTGGACAATTGCTTGTGCGAGTGATCGAATAGCCCGATAGATTGGTGGGGGGTAGTAACGTAATGCCCAAAACAAGTCCGGGCACTGTACTGCACTTGCGTGGCCGAGTGCAATAGTGCTCGAATGTAGGTTATATTCAGTGGAAGATGAAGGGGTTTGTAGTATCATAATATGTGGTAGTAAAGGGCTTTTTGTAGAACGGGGATATTGTAACCTGTACTGTACTCGAATAAGTTCGATTATGGTTAACTTAAACAGTTACTGTGAGTATTGGGTTTGGCATTTCTCCTTGCATTATCATAATATGATAATAATAATATTATGACATTCATCATAATTATCATAGTTCTTTCGGGTTAGCATCGTTTGCCCCTAACAAGGGGTTCATAAGTTGGCTTTAGGGTTTAAGTTAAGGTACGGAATCGGTATCCGACTTCACGGTAAAGATCTCCCATACCACCCATTTTTAAGTTTTATCCCTCCCATACCACCCATCCCTCCCATACCACTCTTTTAATATATAATCTTATTAATTATATTGTATATTTCAATTTATAATCAGTTTAATATGCACATATTTTGTATAATTATATTAAACTTTTAAAAACAATAAGTTTCCTAATATCTAGAGCAAGCTTACTTTGAGGAAGAAGTTAATCTAGTAGTAACTATATAACAGATGAAGCTCTGCTAATTCTATCCAAGTAAAATATCAGTATATGGTATATATGTTGAGGATTAAGAGAGATATCGGTAATATAGTTATGAAAAGATAGTGAGATCAGAGATGATACATTTTAAAATACTACAATTTTCCTCATTCATTCCTTCATATTAAGTACTTCTTCTCATATTTCCTATTTTTAAGAGAGTATATAGAGAAATACCCACTATATAATAGTTATATAAATCCTTTTTCATGCCCCCACTGGTTTTAGATATTTGGAAATATTCTATTTTCAAAAATAATATTACAAAAAATGGCTATTTGCTATACCAGCTTCAAATGTTAAAATAAAATAAGATTTCCAGGTAATCGTGGGATTACATTTTAATGTAGTGACATGGGAGGGATGGGTGGTATGGGAGGAATAAAGCTTAAAATTGGGTGGTATGGGAGACCTTTACCGCCGACTTAATCCTTGCAACCATCAATTTTGCACATTCTCATCCAGTGATGCCCAGCCCGGGACTAGGAAACCTCACGTCCTATCGTGTAGTGGGATGTTTGTATCTCATTCAAATCAATAACGGCTGGTCCCTCTTCAGCGCTCGTACTTAATCGGCATGCTATGTGTGTTGATGCTTCTTAGCCCGGGCGGTCCTTGGAATGCAGTTATCAATCAAAGGCCTAGTCTACGGCGCGGTTGGCATCATATCATGCGCTAACATTTGATTCCAGAATACTTAATCAGCGCCCACAGCACCCATAGCGTGGGCCTTTAAATTAATGCTTCTCCCGAAGCACCCCCGCTAGGCGTTCCTACCGAAGCCCGTTGGTAGCTCTTTTATTCACCGGGGGGCCTCATTATTTGGTCCAGTGCGAAACGTAGGAAACTCCTCTTCCGTTCACCGCAAAAACTAAAGTTAGCCTCAGCACTGTGGCGCCGGAGCTCAAACTCCGTCCCTCTGATCCAGTAACCAACGTCGCTCGGTGGACCGTAGCTGCCGGGAGCACAGCTTGAATTTGGAGGTACAACTCTCGCTTTCTCTCCCTCATTTTTCCTCATTTGTGCTTGATCTTGATGCAGAGAAAGGGAATTGAGGGAGAGATAAGAGGGGGAATGGGAGAAAAGTGGTGAAAAGAGAAACGTGAAGATAGGGAAAAAATCCCTAAATCGATTAACTGCATCGTGAAAGGATATATTGGCCTTCGTGGGAGCATTAGTGGCAGTACGGTTCTGCGCAATACCAATATACTGGTGGATATTCATGCACCCCATCTGTGCTACTGGTAAATAAATTGAATTATTTCAGGCATTACAGGTAAACCTTCTCTTTGCATTTTCTTGTTAGTACAAGTAGGTACTGCTCGAGTATGGGAATTATTTTTAATCTGATATCAGACTCTATTCTTTTAGGTGTCACATTGGCATAAGGTCGGACGTGAATGAATGTTACGGGGGTTAATAATTGTAGGTATAGTTCCCGTAAGTGTAGTTTTAACATGGCGGGATTTATTTGCGCTTGCTAGTAGGATATATGTTTCTATCCAGCTCTTTTTATGGTTTGTACTAGCACATCCGGGCCTCCGAACGGGATTATGGGCTCGGAATGGTAAGAAATTATCCTCCTATTCTGGCATATTCTATTCTCCTGAGCTACCGGACTATTGTTGGAAGGTGGTCATGGTAGGACGATACCTCAGAAGGCTCACAAACCTCGCCGGAGTCAGTAGAAACTCCGTGGCTTCAGTCAATTGCATTGCCTGCCCGGACACGAGAGGAGGGCACTACGGATGACCGAATCATCTATTCGTGTCGGTGGGTGCAGGCCACTCCCCGATTTTCGTAGCCAAGGTAACCCGGAAGAGGGCAAGACTCTATCTGGGATCTGGTTCCTTGTGCAGAGGCTGCCGGGCTGATAGCAAGCCATCCGGTGATGCTTCCAACCAACCCAACGGAGGCAACCTCAGGCGAGGATGTTCTCCGCCTATCTGGCAATGGGTATAAGGTATTCGTGGGGCAAGCTGGAGATAGGTGAAAGTTTCAACCAAATATATATAAGACCAGGAGCACTTGGAGACTGCCCTATATTGCTCCCATTCAACCAAAAGCGACCAGCTTCCTCTGGTGCCGCGAATTCATCAACTACATATATCTGCCAAATAATAGGCACGGCAGAGCCTAGGCGCCGGCGCCCTTCGACATAACTCATTCCAAACACGGAACGAGTTACTTGTTAATACCCCGTGCTTACAATCTCTGCTCGTTCCGCTTTTTATACACACATATTCAGCTGTCTTCACGACTGGTGGATTAGGGTATATATTTTCTTGGCTACGGGATGTTCACTCATAAAACAATATGGGGTGCTTTATGGACGCTCGCAGAACTTATTTCAATAAGTACGAGTGTCCCGGCAAGAGACCCGTCACCTAGCGGCTCGCAGGGGTCGGGTGGGATGGACTTGGAGAGTCTGTGGGTCGACGAGGTGGAAGAAGCTGTGAGGAACGCGCACTCTCTAGAGCCGCTCCTTGGTTCCCAGCCTGTTTCGGGGCCTGACGCTCCGGTTTGGATGGACGTCCTATCTCTGCATATGACATTGTGTCGATTGCTCCGGGGAAAAACCCTAATGAGCTATTCCCAGCAGCTGCCGGTATTATCATACCTGTCTTTTGGCGGTTATTGGGTAGGATGTAGACTAACCTGTGAAACCACAGAGGTGGACGTGACCGAAGACGAGCTCATGTTGATGAAGAAAAACGCAGAGCGGGCCTTTTTGGCATACTGTCCAGAAAAAATCATGGGGCGGTTGGAAACCTCACATGAAGTTGTTAAAACGAAAACTTGGGTATGAAAGATGGCCAAAAACGGACAAGAAAGGAATTCTTCATCATGCCAGAAAACTCGGTTAAAATCATGAAGACTCACTAGTAAGTGTTCCTGCAACAAACCAGGTTCTAGCCCTGGGGGTGATTTATAGGTTCTGACTCTTGTCCGAAATTTAGCCCAAGGATTTGGACGAGGTCTGCGTTCGGTATTACAGGAATTGGTGCGGTGGGATTGGTTGATGAGAAAGCCAAGGAGATTGTAGTGTCTGTTCGGGGAACCATCGGCCTAATGAATTGGCTCGCAAACGCAGCGATTATTGTTGTTCCCGCGAGACATCTGTGTAAAGGTTGTTGCATGCACTCAGGCTTCTGGATAGCAACACGCGAGATCCATAAAATCGTCAGGACTGAAATAAAGAGGCTATGGGCTTTACCTGAGTATAAGGGCTTTGCTCTTACTATTACTGGACACTCTCTTGGCGGAGCGGTTGCATACCTGCTGCGTGCGCAGTTCGCGGTAGCCAAAGATTTCTGCGGAGGTGGCCCCATTGACCTGGTAAGTTAGGAAGGTAAAGCGCTCATATGGATTTGTCTGATGCGTGAACTTTTAGGTTACCATTGGCCAGCCGAAGGCAGGGAACAGAGAGTTGGCAACGTGGGTTGAGAAGCTGCCTGGAAGGTATTTACGGGTGACCCATTCTGGTATGGACAACCTGTACCATTTGGGATTGTGGGGAATTGGGCTGACATCCCAACCCTTCTCATAGATGATCTTGTTGTGAGCCTGCCACCATCATTTGGATGGACGAGCATAGGCACTGGCTACAAGTACCACTACGTCCATACTAGGAATGAGTATCACATCAAACCATTCCCGGATCCTGACTGTCAGGATATCCCGGTGGATGCATGGAAGACCACCCATGTGAAAAAGATGGTCTCGGATGAGTGGTTCTACCGTGGAGGCACCCATAAGGTAGGTCGCTATGGGCTCCCTGTACCAACAAAGCTTTCTCCCATCTCTTCGCATTCATTATATCTCTACCGAAGCAATATATGCAGCATGAACCCACCCAAGCCTAAGCAGCCTCCTACAACATCTCTTAGAGATGCAAAACCCCCCGGCTTGGACGAACTATTAGTAGAGTTGGGTATTGACTCGTCTACCTCGCACGGCAGCGGAATTATCGGTAACGATTGGGAAGAATGGAGCAGGATCATGGCTGATGTTAATGCTGCTGGGGATCCCCAAGGCCCTGGCCACATGTCGGATGTAGATTAAGTAAGGGCGACAGAGGCGCACACGATATTTTTAAGTTTTATGTTAATCGCATATTCGCCGTTTTGCGGAGGTTCTCTCTAGTCTCCGTACGATATCTTCTCATCTTGTCTTCATCTCGTTTTTTACTACACTCTTCTTACAGGACCAAATCAAGTGTGGGTACAACACTGTGTAGATATGGAACTTGTTTTATTAGAACAAGGCCATAGCTCTTTTTTATGTCGTTTACTACTTCCTTCCTTCCAAGGTTTGTGTAATATCTCATAGTATTATTGTACCCTACCCTGCTTAGATAGCCAAGTACTGTACACTTCAATAAAAAAAAAGGACCGGTAAGGAGACGGAACTAACGCTATAGTATGCCAAATTGCGTGATATTTGCAACACCCTGACGAAACTTCAGAACCGAAATACATCCTGTTCACCGTTACAAGCTGTGAAGGTACGAACCCGCGGTGAACCCAGGGGATCATATTTCGAGCGTATCTGTCTATCATAGTTTGCCAGCCGCGACGCATCACCTTTTACCGGACCGGGGCCAGTAGAACGATGCTCTAAGTTACACAGAGCAAAGGGTTCCGGAAGTCTCAAGAAATAGCTGGAGCGCTCTGGTGTCAATGGTAAGTGATATTAAGGGCCTCTCCCGGACTAAGTAAGATTTTCTTAGATTAGTGAGGGCCTTGTCACGATATTGGAATATCTGCAGATTTCTATAGTAGTAGTGCGACACAGACTTATAAGGAGAACTTTGCCTTGCTTCGCCGGGCTGCGTGTAAACACGGGTGCCGGTGAATGGGGGAGTAGGAGTTCGCAAGTACCGTGCCGGTACGAAATGGCTGCGGTGCAATTATGGGATATTGTTGGAAGCACCGGGTACGTTTTATGAGTAAAATAGCCTCCAAGTAGCGGTACTCCGAATAATTCTATAATAAAAAACGGCGGAGAATAAATAATACTCAGCGCGGAGTTATGATATCGTACTCAAATACGGTAATATCAGAATGGTGAACAGGAGAAAGTGGTCGGAATCCGCAGGAGACCGGTGGCCTCGCTCACTCACCCAATACAGTACGATACCGGTACTTGAGCACGGTATGATTGTATGATATCCTACTTACAGCTTAACTAGGTTAAGCTGTTCTGGCTGAGTCATCATATAGCTCTTGTTGGATCAGGGCCAACTGTTCTGACCAACTCCATCAACTAAAATAATTAGCAGCCGCCCAGCCTCGCCATGATTCAGTAGTCTACCCCATCCCGTTGCCTACCAATACACTCGCCCAGCCTCACAACAGTCCCTACCATATTCCTTCATCAACCACATACCAACTTGCACCCGTCCCGGTTTGATTCAGTACAACACCAACCATGTCCGACGATGATTTCATGATCGAATCCGACCAAGAGGGTTACGATTTCGAGTACGAGGATGAAGGGGAGGAGGAATCCGGAGACGTCGATGTGGAAAACAAATATTACAATGCTAAGCAGATGAAACCGAGTGACCCTCGGGGTGCGATAGACGAGTTTCTGGGAGTTGTTGGGCTGGAGAAAGAGAAGGGTGATTGGTAAGTTTTCCTAGCTGTTAGGTGGAGACGAGTTTAGCTAAAAATTGTGATTACTAGGGGATTCAAGGGCTTGAAACAAGCTATCAAGCTTGAGTTCAAACTCAAGAAGCATGATCGGGTATTCTGCCTTTTAAACCATATCCTCCTCATTTACTAACCCCGTAACTCCGATCAGGCTGTCGAGCACTTTGAAGAGCTTCTCACCTATATCCGCTCCGCCGTCACACGCAATTATTCTGAGAAGTCTCTCAATAATATGCTGGATTATATCTCTTCGTCTAATGACGAGGATGATATGCCTTACATGGAGAGATTCTACGACATGACGCTTGCGGCTTTCCAGGGGACTAACAACGAGCGCCTATGGTTGAAGACTAACATCAAATTAGCGAAGCTGTGGCTCGATAGGAAGGAATATGCACGCCTTCAGAAGAACATTCGTCTTCTTCATAAAGCCTGTCAGAGACCTGACGGCAGTGATGACCCCTCTAAAGGAACTTATCTTCTTGAGGTCTATGCCATTGAGATACAAATGTATTCGGAGACCGGGAATAATAAAAAAATGAAGGTAATGAAGAGCCTTTCTCCTCGCATGGCAGATGTCCTAGTCTCATTTTTCAGTAGGAGCTGTATAATCAATCTCTGCGTGTCCGCTCTGCTGTGCCCCATCCAAGGATCATGGGAATTATTCGGGAATGTGGTGGGAAGATGCACATGAATGAAGGTATTGTGTTGACTGCTTTCGTCTATACCCTATCCAGGCCTGACTCGTTGCGCAGAAAACTGGAAGGAAGCTCAAAGTGACTTTTTCGAGGCATTTCGAAACTACGATGAAGCTGGCTCGATCCAGAGGATACAGGTATTGAAGTATCTCGTCCTAGCCAGTATGCTTATGAAGTCGGAGATCAATCCTTTTGAATCTCAAGAGACTAAACCGTGTGTCCTTCCTTGTCCTTTCTGGGCCTGTAGCCTAATCACCTTACAGATATAAGTCAGACCCTCGCATACAAGCTATGACGGACCTTGTAGAGGCTTACCAGCGCAACGAGATCCACCGTTACGAGTCGATATTGGAGACTCACAAGGCTGAAATATTATCGGATCCCTTTATCCGCGAACATATCGACGAGGTTACTCGCAACATCCGTACTGAAGCTCTCTTGAAGCTTATTGCCCCCTTTACCCGATTCACCCTTGACTTCATTGCCAGGCAGCTTAAGATACATGTCGCAGAGGTCCAAGAGATCTTGGGATTTCTTATCCTTGATAAGAAGATACGCGGAAAAATTAACCAGCAGAAGGGCACGATTGAAGTTGAGGTTAATGTCGATGCCGAACGAATGAAGGCAATGAAGGATTGGTCCGCTGCCCTAGGAGCTCTTTCCTATTCCCTCTTTAACGATGGCGATGGTTTCAAGAGTGATGACGCAAGTTTAATGGGTGGTAAGTACAAGGCACCAGATAGAGGCCCTCTCTCCATGATCCTTAGAAACATGACGTGGCTCTAAAGAAATTTGTTGATCACAATGTTAGGCATGGACGTGGGACGCCGGCGCATGTGAGGCCACGATAGAACTGATACGGAGTTTGAATCAGGTTTGACATGGAATAAAAGAAAAAAATCTTGTAGCCTCTTAAATCTGCAGTTCTTAGTTAATCTCCTGCTCTTGTTCGAGCCAATCGACTTTGACGTTTCCCTTTTTCTTCGCGGAGCAACCCCCCCCCCCTCCAATCTCTAGAATAGGCTTTCATGGAAAATCACTCGCTTCTTGAACCTTCATTTGAGGAATCAGAGGTTCGCGGGTGATATTGTGGGAAAAAGAACAACACAAAACTCAACCATGTCATAATATGCCACTTTTAAAGAAACAATTGCGTGTGAATTCACCCCGGGCGCCAGGAGGTCGAGCATGTGTGAAGCTTAATGCCCAAACCGAGTAAAATATTAATCATGGAAATAAGAAAAAAAGCAGTTCACCACCTATCGTCTGTTCATTCACAGATCCCATCCTTACTCACACAAATAAATGTGCCACACCACCCGCTTCTTTATACACAAGTAAACCTCGCCGCCACCACCACCACCAACAGCAGCATCTAATACTCATCCATCCCCTCAGCCGTCATATCCCTCCGAATACTCAACTCGGACAATGCTTCATTCCCTTCTATCACGAGCCCTTTCTCGTTCGCCAAGTGCAGCAAACAAATGAAGCAATAAGAGGTGGAGATATCCGCCATGGCTTTCTGCGGGTAAACCTCTTGCAGTCCGTTCATGACCTGCGTGAACTTGCGTTCTTCGACCTTGACGTCTTCCATTTCTTCATCCTTTACTGCATTCTCTCCTCCTGCATTTTGCTGCTCCTCCTTTTTTGTGTTGCTAAACGATAGTCCGTCCCATAGTTTCTCCTTCAACTTGCGTACGTCTACTTTTTTCGCAATTTTTGCATATTGTACGTATTCTGGGCGGACGCGTCGGCTGGAGGTTACGAGCTGGTTGCCGAATTCCACACCTTGGGTTGCGCCACCGCCACCGGCGAGTAGAGCGTTGAGTGGGGAGGGGTCGGGAACTATGGGGTTTTGGGCGCCCGGGGGGAGAGCGTCTGGTGGCGGCGGCGAGAAGACTTCCCGGGCATCGGCAAAGTCGTCGTCGTCATCGTCTACCGGCCCAGGGATGCCGAGACCTTCGTCGCTGAAGAAGTTGGCATCGTAGTTGCCGGAGACTTTGGGGTCGGGTGCTGGGGAGAATGTTAGTTTGATTGGAAGTAGAAGGGGGCGGGGGAGAGAGGGTATACTTGAAGAAGCTTGGATATTCTTAGCCATATCTTCTCTTGCCCAGAATTCTTCGTCCATGTCTTCTGGACGGTCTTCGACTGGTTTGCCGCTGCCAGTGGTTTTACTGTTCTTGGCGGCGTATAGCACCGCTTTGGGCTTTAGGAAGAGCTTTTTGAGCTGTGTAGAGTTGAAGTGCTTGTCGTCCGGGAGGAGGTTTCGAGACTTGCTTCTCCAGTCCTTCTTGGGCATGTTTATGCTTGCGGTTCCCTTCTTTGGGCGGACTACGTCGTCTGTTATTTCGGCTTCAGGGTTCATGAAATCTATCAGGAATGTTTCTTTCTCCTTTCTCTGACGGACGGGTGCATTAACGGGTTTGGAGTTATCTGGCTTTCGCTTTTGATGTCAGTGTATAGATTACTGGTTTAGGTCAATAGAAGGTAATTTTCTGCGAACCTTTCAGTTTCCGGATTCTCCAGTGCTCGGGCCCAGCCCAGTTCTTTTTTAGAGTTTCATCGAAGTAGCTCAGGATATCATCGCCGCCTCCCCCGAAACCCACTGTAAACTCCTTTGTATCCTCGTCCTCATCGCCTTCGCCTCCGAGGCCTAATAAAGGCCGTTTGGCGGGGCTCATGAACCGTTGTGCGGCATCCACGATCGTCTCATTGGCCCATATTTCACCTCCCTCCCCGAAGCCCATATCCCCACCATCATCATCACCGATACCAAAGCCAGCGTCAAAGCCAAAAGCCATATCTGGCCTCTCTGTCAAGTCTCCATCGCCTATTTGCCCATCTGGTCCTTCGATGTCACTGGCAAGAATGTCGCCATCACCGCCGCGTTCTTCTAATGCCTTCAAGAATGGAATATCCAGCGAACCTGCGGGGTCGCCTAGATCAAAATTTTTGAGAGAGGGGCAGATATCTTGTTGATCCAAAACATTGAGATTGGGGAAGAACTTATTGCGGAGGGCATCAAAGTCGATTTCGACCTTGTCTTCTACCGGCTCCGGTTCTTTGGGCTCCTCGTCCTCCTCGTCCTCCTTCTTGATGCCATCGTCTTCTTTGTCTATAGGATCTACATGGCCACTGTCATCACTGCTATCAAAGACAATCCTTCCCGAGGAGTCGATTGAAAGGTTGTTTAGAAGTAGGCCTTTCGCACCCCCTTCGTCGAAGTCTGCAGTGGCCTTCTTGAATAGAGGGTCAACATTCAGCTCAAGATCGTGTTTCTTGATTTGTAGTGAGGCGAAATCTTTAGCTAGAGTAGCCTCCGAAGATCTTTGGGTCTAGTGGTACGTAAGCGAACTGACGGACCAATGGCTTCGGTTTGTCGAAGATACCTTGCGTTTCCTCCTCTTTGACCCTTCGCCATCCTCCCCATCTTCGCCAACTTCATCACCGCTTCCTTCCCCTTCTTCGCCATCCCGATCTTTTCTCTTGGAGTTACTATCCGCTAAGCCACTCAATAATTTGCCAGTCTCTGTTGCGACTGAATCAACTCTATTTGTGTAGATCTTGACACAGCCATCCAAAGTGCAGCTTGCTTTCTGAAAATTAATGCCTTCTCCCTCCTTGAGCAGCGACATGTCGTGAAAATAGTCAATCAAAGCAAAATTCCATGAATTGGTGGCGTTGATTTTCTACGACCGGATATTTCCAGTTAGCCTGACCAAACTGAGCGAGAAAATATACATTTCGGCAGGCATACTAACATTATCCGTGGCCAATTTCATCCATTCCTCAAAGTTTGCCAATATAGGAACCTTGCGCATAGGCGTAACCGCATCTATCGGACCCTCACCAGCGACTCCACCTCTCAGAGCAGCAAGGTTTCGAGGAGTAGTTGGATCATCTGCGGAACCTATTGTTTGCCGCCTCGCTGGAGAGGCTGCCGCGACGATCTCATTTGCTTGAAGGCCGCGGAGGAGGGAGCGCTTTTTGAACCGTTTGGCCTTTTCCGCGACATCGTCGTTGAGGGGGATCTTTGTACCCATCGGTGATGGTCTTAGTGGGGACGGAGCATATTCGTGCCCACCACTCCTCCGTAGTCGAGGAACCCGGGGCGAGTTTATCATTTTTCCTCTTTGTTGTGGGATTTCACTACCTCAGAGTTGGTGTCGATAGTGATCGGTTATGAGGATGATGCTTTGTAGTAATTTAAGGCGAGATAGAAGTTACTATGATAGGATACTCTAAATGCTTGGTTGAGATGGTGTGTGCGGGGTTGATGGTGGGGGGTATGGTAGAGGTGTAGACTAAGGGTAAGAGACAGAAGTAGAAGATATGGGTTTGAGGGCTGTTTACCTTTTTTGATCACCCCAAGCTGAGGGTAAACACAATCACACTGCTGTAGGGTAAGACTAAGAGGGCATCCCTGTATCTATGGCAACGGTGGCTGAAAGTTGCACAGGGTGAAATAGAGTGGCTTCATGCGTACTCGTACATGTACCAAAGACAACTGGAGCATTCGTCATCCCGGGCTGGCTGAATGGTAAATCTAGGTGGATCGTTCTATGGTTGATGCTGATGGCTCTGCTGGTATCATATCATACTCTCTCACCTCCATCGATCGTTAATCTACGGAACCGGTGGTTCCTTACCCACCTTGTCCCTTTTTCACCCCTATTATAACTTCAACTTGCAGCATCTATCTTCCTTCCTCGCCCCACGCCCCCCCTCCCTTACCTTTATCGATTTGGTAGAGTGCTGCCACATGTAAATCTACCCGTGCAAGACTGCCCCGCAGCACATCCTTCTCACTTTCTCTTCTCTTCATTCCTGAGAACTCATCTCCTCTAAGCTCCATATTGGAGATGTCCCTGGTGCCGAACGCTCCATCCAAAACATTCTCTTCACCCTGGCAGCCATGACCTGCTTAAATTCCACTTTCCGATTATCGGTAATACTGCCGCTACTGTTATTCATACTCTTAGATTTTTCTGTGCCCCACCTCGCCGCCAAACGGGTCCAACGGCCGCAAGCTTTGGATTCCAACCGTAGCACACCACCAAAACATTTTAGTGGGCCGAGCTTTTCTAGGCCCACCTCTGGTCTGCCGGCAGATGTCCCAGCGGTGGGAATTCGCGACATGGAGGTGCGTATTCTTTGCCCGTGAGCTCTGGGGCAATACTAACTTTCAATCTTAATCACAGTGCCGACGGGTGCACGAGTTTAAAGACAAATGCAAGTTCGTGAGGGAGAATTGCGACGATGAAGAAGTGGGATACTTTGATTATTTGGGACTCTATTACTGTCGCTTGGAAAGGCTTCCTGTCCTTTCGCTCGTGATAATGGCCGGGTGGCTTGTAATGTTATTTACGGTATGCCTTGTCTCCGCGCACCTTGCAAGGGACGTACCAGTTTTCTTCAAGGTTGGAGAACCTCACATGAAACTGACTTGCGCTAGACACTTGGTATTGCGGCGAGCGACTTCTTCTGTATCAACCTTTCTACCATCGCAAATATTCTAGGGATGTCCGAAAGTATGGTGTGTAGCCACCAGGACCTCTTCCGGACCACATAACGGCTAATATGATGATAAAAAAAATAGGCTGGCGTTACGTTTCTAGCATTCGGTAATGGATCGCCTGACGTTTTTAGCACATTTGCGGCTATGAAAATTAATTCGGGGTCACTTGCCGTCGGCGAACTTATCGGCGCTGCCTCTTTTATTGCTGCCGTGGTAGCGGGTTCTATGGCTATTGTAAGGCCCTTCCGGGTCGGTAGGAGATCCTTTGTTCGGGACGTCTGCTTCTTCATTGTCGCCGTATTATTTGGTATATTCTTTCTAGCCGATGGAAAGATACAAATGTGGGAATGCATCGTGATGGTGATGTTTTACTGCTTTTATGTATGCTTTGTCGTGGCGTGGCATTGGGCCTCTCAGTCAAGAAAGCGAAGGAGGAGAAAAGAGAGAAGTGCTAGGGAACACTTTGTTGTGCCTGAAGAAGAAGAAACAATTGATGATGATGATGAGGACGGTGGGGTAGGTGAGACCACCGGACTCCTGGACTCCACTCATGATTTCCGTGCTCTTGAGCGAGGGGAAAGCGAAGACAACGACGAGGAAGAACAGGAGCAGCAAGCGTATGCAGAGTTAAGCAATAGTATGCGACTTACTAGGCCACCCATGGAGAGGCACACTACACCAGCTACACCACATGGAATCAGGCCTTCTCTAGTTGGCGCTTTAGAGGTGGGGATCCCTTCACTATCTTAATGCGCCTCAGGGCTAATGCTAATATGCGCGGGCTGTAGTTTCGAGCAGTGCTATCCTCTCTAGAAAAAAACAAAAATTTACAAGGGCGCCCTATCCACCTTCGTCGATATTCAGACGGCCCCTTCTTAAGCTTAAACACTTCATCATATTCAGCTCCTGGGTCCTTGGTTATCCCAGGAAATTTTGGAGACCGCCAATCGTCCGAAGATGACCCTGTTGCAGATCCTAACGTTGGAAGATCGCGTGGGCTGTCATTGAATGATTCTGCTGGAGCCAATGTTGATCATGAATACTTTGGCAGATCAACAAATGATTCGCCTCGAGTCAATATAACACAACCGACACCTCTATCTTCGCAACTCGTCTTGGCTACCGACGGGGCATCGTTCACTCGGGCCAAAACTCCCGACTTTCTTGCGCCACCATCTCCGACCGGGTACCCGAGAGGCTCAAGATACTCGCCCACTCACTCTGAACCTGCAAGCCCAATGAGCCAGGCCTCCTCGGGCGCCCCCCAGGTCGACTTGGCATCGGATTCCGGCTCACAGCGCTTCACCGAATCTCCACGGCCCTTTGGCAGCCCATCAGCCTCTCCTCCGCCTTCAATCCGCCTCCCTCCTCCCTCTATAGATCCGGCATCATTAAGCCCACTACCTGCAGGTAACTGGAAGGTACTTAAATACTGGCCATACCATATACTTTCTCCGCCTCAAATTTTATTTGGAACTTTGTTTCCCACCCTTAGAGGGTTCAAAGGTAAATCATGGATGGAAAAGTGCCTTGGTTTAATCGCGCTGCCAAGTGTGTTTCTACTTACTATAACACTGCCGGTCGTTGAGGGGGGATCTCAAACCAGCGATAAGACGCCGACAGTAGTCCTCGAACCTGAAAGCCCTGCCAGCACTATTACGGGAGGAGACCTGATGTCTACCAATGGCGCTTCTAGTGGCCCTGGGCATGGAGTGAGCGCATCAGATGGCGTTGGCCCAAAAGAGTGGAATAGATGGCTAGTAGCAATACAATGCATCACTGCCCCGGTCTTCATGGTTGTCATGTTTCTTGCAGATGATGAGATCCGACTGCTGAAGCCCATCCTCTATGCACTTCTTGGGGGATTGATCGCGTTAGCATTTTTACTTATTCTCACCACTCCAGAGAGGGCACCGCGGTGGAGATATCTTCTTTGTTTTGCTGGATTTGCCGTGGCCATTGGGTGGATCAGCGCCATTGCCAATGAGGTGGTAGGCGTTTTGAAGGCGTTTGGAGTCATATTTGGTATCAGTGATGCAATCTTGGGACTGACCATTTTCGCTATTGTGATTCACCCCTCTTTCCCCTGGTGTTTACATGTTGCATTTTACTAAATCATACGGATAATAGGGAAACTCTCTTGGTGATCTCGTGGCTGACATTACCGTTGCCCGGCTCGGTTTCCCGGTTATGGCGCTCTCTGCATGCTTCGGCGGCCCCATGTTAAACATTCTTCTGGGAATCGGTATTTCAGGGCTTTACATGACAACAATCTCTCATTCACACAAGGATGCAGATTACTACCCTATAGAAGTTTCCTCTACACTAATCATATCCGCCGCTACACTTCTCATCACCCTGGTTCTACTGCTGATTGCAGTGCCATTGAACCGATGGATGATGACGAGAAAGATTGGATTTGCCCTTATTGGCCTGTGGGTTGTGAGTACGGTTGTTAATATTGTTGTCGAGTTGACAGGCTTAGGGAGTAAATGGGGAGGCAAAATCGCGGTTTGATATGTATTTGACATATTTCACGGAGTTGGGGCTTGGATCATGAATGTGGTACTGTATCTTTAATGCTTTACTTAGTACTTGTTTAAGCGGTATAATTCGATCATCTCTTCAGCTGTGGATTTGGATTGTTGGGGTTGGAATGGCTGCATAGATAATATCCCCGCGAAGTCATAATCATTCTCTTTTGGTTGGTCACGGGGGGTGTACAGAGTGATCTTTTACGATGAGGGTCCGAAAGCGGTGCCCTGGATGCCTCTTTGGGGCGCGTTAGGATCCTTTTTTTGATCCTCCTGAGCAAATAACAAGTTCCTCCAGGGGCTGCGCACCATGACCCGGCGCATCGCTGTCGCCCAGCACCCGGCCCACGCAGGCACCAAATCGCCCATGTTAAGGGCACTCTACGAGCCTGGCAACGAAAGAAACGTGCCCCCCCGGCTTTCCATACAAAGCACCACTTTCCGGTACACGCCTATCTAGGAATATTTCCTAGGTTTGTAGCCTGAATATATTTATGAAGGGAATGCCAAAATTCATGCCAAGATGACCAATTTGTATGGGATTTTGCATAGTTAGACAGCTTCATACTTGTGTCCATATTTAGGACAGTTGAATTCCCAAAAATTCATAATGCTAAACTCCCTATGAATATTCCTCCTAGAACCGGGATTTGTATGGAAAACCGGGGGGTGTGCGTTTGTTCTGTCACCAAGATCGTACGTGCAGTACGTATTTTAACCATAGCCGTATTCACCATGATGCCCGAGTATTATTTCACTCCCCGAACCCTTTGGTTCTGCAAACCACCACCGCTGTCGCTTGTGCTGATTCCTGGCTCTCCTTATTGTGAGGCCCTGGGGACCCTGACCCAAGCATTGGAGTGGATCGCGGTGGCGACATTGGGCGAGGCAGAGGCAGACATATAGGTCGTTAATGCTGGCTAAACCCGAAGCCTTTCTAGGGATAGGAAATACCAAGGGGGGGTCGGTTGTGGTAGTTATGTTTCACGTGGTAGTTGTGTTTAACGGGTAGGATCTAATGGGGATGGGTGGGTGCGTGATCAGACGAGAGGTACGAGTAGGATGGATAGTTTAAATAGGGTACGACAGTTTAGCAGTCGGGAGAGTGCTTGTGCGTCCATTAAAAACCCTGTGTTGTAGATAGCTTGGCGTGCAGAACTTTCTGCCTGCGGTAAAATGGACCGGACTGCCCACTTGGGATCACTGACTGCAATGGTAGTAAGTTGAATTTTGCAGTGAACGATATGCTCATAGGTGAATTTTATGCTATGCTGTTTACAAGAAAAAATATTCCCTCTTGCAGTGATTGTCACCTCAAGGATAAAGAAGCGGAGGGGGAAAAAGGTGTGCTTTACACAGACTAACACAGTGCCGAGCAGGGTGACAAGCGAAAGCTAAGTTATAAGCTTAAGGCTAGCCCTAGATGGTCAATACTTGTTGATGAGTTTAGTATCAGTATTCTGGTGCTGCCCGGTGTAGACTTTCCACACTATATGTATGAATTCATGCTCCTCTTAAGTTGCAAACAAACTAATAGGATTAGTTATGAGCAAAGACTGAGAAACAAAGGTATTGAAGTACTTATCGAATACCGATGAAACCATTACAAGGAGATTGTACATCTAGCTGTAGAGAGTCCTGGTATTAATATCCAATGTCTTTCTGACAGAGATAGTGGTAAGGAACAGCTAAAGATCCTCACTGGCGGGGAGGGCTAGGGAAATATGCAAGACAACCCTCCCATCGAGGAGGGAAGTGAAACACTAGACCACTATGTACAGAGTTAATGGAAATCAACTGAAATCCTCTCTTGGCGGTGATGGCAGCACTGGCCAGCCCAAGACTCTCAATAGTTGGGAGGGTGAAGGAAATATGCAAGACAACACTCTCAGCAAGGACAGAAGTCAAATATGGGACGGCTGTGCCAGGAGGGATAATGTGAATCAACTGATGCTCCCAACTGGTAAGGAGGACAACAGAAATAAGCAAGACAACTCTCAGAGAGTGGAGGAAAGCAAAATCCTGGACACTTGCGCTGGAGAAGATGATGTGAATCAAATGAAACCCCTGACAAGTGGGAACATCAAAAGCCAGCTAGATATCTGTAGTAGATGAAAGGAAAATATAGAGTAATAGCCAGAAATACCATCTCCCAGGGGCCATAACAATCGGCCACTAGAGAGTGGTGTAAGTGGAGGTAGAGTAAGACCTCTTATGGAATTAGTGGTGAGAGAAGTCTTGGGAGATTTGCAATAAATGGATTTGTTTGAGATAGTGGCAGTGATCATGGCTTCTTAGAGGGACTTACTCATGAAGACAGAGAGGAATAGTGGCCAATAGATCCTGTCTGAGGTGACAGGGACCAAACTGGCTCTTTTACTACTGTTGGCTTTAAGTATTATTATGAACTCAGGAGCATAGATGTTGGTGTGGAGGTACCATTACTGGTATCTTCAAAGTTTCCACTTTAGGGCAATTTCTTGTCTTAAGCCACTTCAGAGTCAAGTGAAGATTTTTAGAGTAGTTAGGTAGGTATCTTATATCTATCAGACTGCTGATCTATACTAATGTACTAATAGAGAGAAAAAACATACTACTCAAGATTTGAGTCGTACAATCTGAAACAAGACTCAATAAAGTACTATTACCATTAACCAAACCTATACCCAGATCAGTGTTAAGAAACTACCACGGTAGGAATGGTAGTAGATCAGAGTCTGCCAAGTAGAGATACTGTTAGTTAGGTACCTTAGTTGGACATGTGATAGTCAAATCAGTTAGGTAACATGACAGTCGGGCTTGGTGGACCCCCTCATAGATGAAAACATAACCAAAAACAAGAGTTATTCAACAACCATAGTAGCCATAGGAAAGAAAGAAATACAAATTGATTCCACATGTACGAAAAACCAATTACCACCTTATATGTCTACTATTTCTCTGAATCACTATTATAACCCTCTCAGGCATTGAATATATTATATTATAGACTCTCCTACATGGCATATTGTTCCAAACCTTTTGTGCGAGATCAATAAATTTCCTATCACTAGTAGGATAGCATCCTGTATCCAAACATGCTTTCAGAAATCTTCTTTCGAAACAAGGCCATTGATTCTCGATAGGGTTCAGGTCGGGAGAGCGTGTAGGCCAAGCCTTTTAGTGAATTGCATTCATGAGACGGAACCTGGTAGTATATGCTGAAGTATGGTATTTCGCACCATTCTTCAAAGTCTGAATTCCTTTCTCAGAACCCGCAAGTATTTGATATTCTGGCAGTATGTATAGTATTAAAATTTCATTTCCATACTGAACAGAATTAAAGCCTAACTTATTCCTCTTATTAATCCTCTCCTGTTCTGTTCTTTTCTGAATTGTAACTACTGGTGAATGCCAGCCATGTACAAATATAGCAAAAAATGTTACTAGGTGCTTTTACTCAGCAAAGGATGACTCCAGGTATTTTTCTTCATAGGCTCTTCCAGGTGGATGATACACTATTCCCTTTGGCTGTTATGAACGTGGCTTAGCGAGGAAAGGGTTTTTAAGTGACACATGGTTATGAGTCACAGGTATGTTATCATTTCACGCATATGACCTATTCGGGTTATATGATTAGTTATGTGTGGGATTTGTGATGCTTTCGCACATGGCTCAAGTATGAGTCATGGGACATGCGCCTGACAAGTATGCCTTACGAGTGTGCCTTACGGGTAAGCCTTGCGCATATGATTTATGTTTCGCACATGACCTCATTATGATGTCATGGGTTTCGTGCATATGACTCAGTCGAGTCATATGACTTGTTTATTGTGTTATGATTGGTTTATGAGTTTCGCACATGACCTCACTATGAGGTCATGGGTTTTGAGCATGTGATCACTTTGGTCATATGACTAGTTTGTTATGATTTAGTTTCGCACATGTGACCACTTTATGTCACATGACTAAAGGCGGGAAGAACACTATATAAGGAGGCCAATGCAGCTGAGGAAGATAGGTTCTTCACGCTTTGTTCTAAGTACTTTTCCTACTTATTACTTTAACGAATATAAAACACCTTTACGATCTTTACCTTTATTGCAACAATATCATTACGATAAGAAGTGCTCGTCACGAAGACGAGTTAGAGAAAGGTTATGATAGGTGTTTCCGATAGAAGACAAAGGTCTTGTACTATCGGTAACGTAGGTAGAGGCCTAGAGCTATCGTAAGACAAAGAAAGAAGGAGACAGAAAAGATAAGTATCGTTCCCCGTCGCCAAGAACTAACTATCTAAAAGGGGATCGTTACATTACAAAGCATCTCCTAGTATGACGCCAAATGATACAAGACGGCATCCTTCAACCCAGACAGGGAAGGAGATATTGACATTGACGATCAAAATCTTAATCTAGGAGGATTCAGCGACGCCCTAGATCACGTCTCAGCAGAACCCGCGAGAGCAGCAAGCCCAGTAACCCCAGAGAAAGGATCACCAGTCGATAGCTCTCCTGCTGGAACGCCACGACCCGAGAGAATGTCGGGATCCGGAGTACCTGGGCCACTGGCCCCAGCCGCTCTGGCACCAGGAACCAGCATACTTGGAATGACTGAAAATCAGTTTCAGGCATTTCTTGCAGCCACGCGAAATACAGGGTAAGGAAATATCCAACGACCAAAAGCAAAGGAGCCCGACACATACGAAGGAGCCGAAGATGAGCTACGAATATTCTTAGCACAATGCGAGGGATATTTTGCAGTTAAGGGATACGGAGATCACCATGATGAAATTAAGATTCCATATGTGGAATCTCTACTCAGAGGACTCGCGGGACAATGGATCATGCCCTCCCAAGATGGACAGAAACAGAGGGAATGAGTCACATACGAAGAGTTCAAGGCGACACTCTTTGAACAATTTGGAGACCCCAACGCCAAAGAAACAGCAAGATGAAAGCTAGAAAAACTCCAGCAAGGAAAACAAATGTTTTCAGCACACTGGAACGAATGTCGACTGTTGGAATACGAGGCCGAGTTTGATGATGCGACTCTCTACATCATCCTACTGAGAAACTGCAGTCAAAGCTTTTCATCATTGGTCCGAG